CTGTCTCCTCTCCCGTCAGTCCGCGCCCTCGCTCTTCCTCAAGAGCAACTTTGAGTACCTGAGAGGAAACTACCGCAAAGCGGTGAAGCTGTTGAACAGCTCCAACATCGCCGAGCACCCTGGACCCATCAAGACGGGTCAGCGACTTTTACACTCAACATTGATGACCTTCTGTTGGTTTTATGGGTTTCCTAAAGTGTGTGTGTGTGTGTGTGTGTGTGTGTTCCAACTTGTCCCGTTCAGGAGAATGCGTTCGATGCATGTTCTGGAACAACCTTGGCTGCATTCACTTTGCGATGGGGAAACACAACCTCGGCATTTTCTACTTTAAGAAGGCGCTGCAAGAGAACGACCACACCTGCGCACAGCTGGGAGACGGCAGCAGCGGGCAATGTGAGTCACAGCCGCCAAACCCCCATCGACGGGGAGTCGATAGCGGCTTTATTAGCATCAGTACTTGAGGGATTACTCAATAGAAAGAAGAGCAAATGACTGCAGTGGCGGCTTCCCTTGCTCGAAATGATGTTTTTGTTCTCCTCTTCCAGAGATTGATTGATTGGATGGTTCATTAAATCACCGGCTTCATCAAAGCACGGGCTCTCAGATGTCATTACAAAACATGTGGCACATCAACCATGTCTCCAAACCACAATTCAAACGTGTCCCTTCTTCTTGTGTCGCTGCGTTTTGTTCTCCAGCCAAGAAGTTCACAGGCATCCCCATGTGTGCTCTGCTAGCCAACAAGCGCTACGAGCTGCTGTACAACTGTGGCATTCAGCTGCTGCACATCGGCAGGCCTCTGGCGGCGTTCGAGTGTCTGATGGAGGCCGTGCAGGTTTACCACTCCAACCCCAGACTGTGGCTGCGACTGGCCGAGTGCTGCATCTCTGCTAACAAAGGGGTAGGAACGGATTTCAGCTCAGCTGGGTTGCAATTCTTTTGAAGTATTCTGTCTTTTCACTAACTCTTGTTACTTGTGGTCATTTTGCACATTTTGTTCATTAGTGTTTATTCCTGGTAAGTGGTTTATGTATCAAGGAACCAAAAAGACGTGTTATCTCCCTTACTTTAGCAGTGTAATGTTATTTAATGACTGTAATGGTTTTAGGCCACAGTAACTATTTAGAACCTGTTTTCAGTTTCAATGTTAATTCGAACATGTGTTTCCATATGACCTTTTTTAATGCATAATGCTTTCCAGTACGGCTGCGTAAGGGAGAGCAGGCCGCGCAGAAAGTGGCTTCATGGTCCGTGTTTGTTTCCAGGGGTCGGAGCAGGAGAGCAAAGGTCTACCTTGTAAAAAAGGGATCGTCCAGTCTATTGTCGGGCAGGGGTACCATCGCAAGATCGTGCTGGCATCCCAGTCGACCCAGAATACAGTTTACAGGTCAGTGTCCACATCTCGCGTCCAGCAGGGGACAGCACGGCTGCATTGTACATGCATGTCCACACAAATGTATGCAACTTTTGTTCACAGCGAAAAGATGTCGAGCCTGTGCCTAAACAATAAAGCAAGAGCTTGCTGTCAATGTGCTTAGCATAAAGACTTAAAAACAAAAATGTATCAAATGGAGATATTTGGCATCTTGTAGCTCAGTGGTTCTCAACTGGTGGGTCCAGGCAATTTATTTACAGCCTGGGCTCCGACTGCAGCTGTATGATCTCTACCAACGTCGATGTGTGTGTTTGTGCAGTGAGGGCCAGTCAGCGGCGATCCCCGTAGCCAGTATGGAGTTCGCGGCCATCTGCCTGAGGAACGCGTTGCTGCTCCTCCCTGACCACCAGCAGCAGGACACTAAGACAGAGAACGGCTCCAAGAGCTTCAGTCTGTCTGGAAGTACTGAGAGCGGCAGCGAGAACAGCGACGCCTGCAGGTAACACACACACACACACACACACACACACCAGTTTTATTCTGTATCTCCCTTTAGAAACAGACATAATATCACGTGAGTCCCGTTGTCAGGACCATTGTTTCCCGCCGTGGGAAAAAGATCTCGTGCGCACCATGAAACTGCTCTATTCCACTATTAAATAAACAAGATGGACTGTTATAATGACATAAAATGATGCATGCTGTGCTGCTTATCACATCAACAGCTAACAGCCAGCCACTAGGAGTCAATCCAGATGTTTTGGCTTCACTTTTGGGGATGACAAATAAACATATTACATATCATAGCGTATTACTCAATTTGTAAAGAGAATAGAATGACCAATTGCCGATGCAGAAGAACCTTATTCTTAATTGTTAATTAGCAGGAATATTGTTCTCTCAATGAAAAACAAATTTGTCTGGACACAAAGTTAACCAAACTATGCGGCTGGACACCAACACATAATATAGTGATATTATTGATCGTGGCTCAGTGGAGACGCGTGTGTGTTGTGATGTTTTGCAGTGCGAAAGGTCAGGAGGCCGATAAGTTCCTGTCTGCTGCTCCATCGTCTCCTCTTAGGAAACAGGAAGTAGAAAACCTCAGGTAAAGACACCATCCAGAGCGCCGAGTGTCCCGTAGAACCCAGAGGGCTGTTGGGTAATCCGCTGACTGCTTCATGCGTAGGTGCTCCATCCTGGCGTGTAGTGCCTACGTGGCGTTGGCGCTGGGAGACAACCTGACGGCTCTAAACCACGCTGAGAAGCTACTCCATCAAACCAAGGTGTCGGGATCCCTCAAGTGAGTGCCGAGTCCGTTCCTCGACCGAGCCGTGGGTTCACCTGGCTCCGTCTTTCCTTTGGGCCGGTGTCCCGCTCCACTTTGATCCCTCTTTCATGTTCCTGCTCTGCTGCTGTTTGCTCAGGTTCCTGGGTCACCTCTATGCTGCTGAGGCCCTCATCTCATTGGACAGGATCTCCGACGCCATCGCTCACCTCAACCCGGAGAACGTCAGCGACGTGTCAATGGGGGTTCTGACCAGCGAGCAAGACCAAGGTCTGTTACATATTAGTTCAAAAGTGTAGAATTTAGACTTTTACTAACGCTTGTTTCTTTTGTTGTGTTTTTTTGTCAACAGGGTCCGACAAAGGAGACGAGTCTGTAGAGTCCTGTGAGTTTTATCACTCAATTAACTTCTTTAATGAATATAACTTTAACATTATTGTTATTTAACTTATTATAGTTAAGATTGAATGTGTGCCTCCATTTACGCTTAGAAAGGTTAAGAAAAAAATATTTTTTTAAAGGCAAAACCCTCTGAAATACAACATGTTGTGGAATGATTACCTCGACCCTTTTAACTGGAAATGTTTGCATCACATGAGTTGGAAACAGCAACTCAGCCTGTCCCGGAAGTCTTGGTTTAAAAAGTCAACTAATTTAGAAAAGTAAAAAATACTTTTTTCACTGCAATCAGATGTTGATTTACAATTTAAAAGTCTGCAATTTGTTACAGCCCTACAAAAGAAAAACTTCATCCAGAACACGACTGTAATAGTTTGTGTGTGTGTGTGTGTGTGTGTGTGTGTGTGTGTGTGTGTGTGTGTGTGTGTGTGTGTGTGTGTGTGTGTGTGTGTGTGTGTGTGTGTGTGTGTGTGTGCGTGTGCGCAGCAGGGAAGCAGACTCCCCTGTGTTACCCCAGCAGCGTGACATCAGCTCGGGCCATGATGCTTTTCAACCTGGGCAGCGCCTACTGTCTCAGGAGCGAGTATGAGAAGGCCCGCAAGTGTCTGCCACAGGTAACCATGACTACAGCACGTTCTATTCAAATTTCAAAAACATATGAGGCGTCTCTCACGCGGGGCAGATCTGTTTGGACTTTTTTTTTTTTCTTTCAAAAGCCGTTGATGTAAAGAGGACAATCGTTAGTCAAAAGCGCTGTCCCCGGTGAGTTCCCCTTGTTAGTGATCGGGTGTGTCTTCGTCAGGCTGCGTCCATGGTGAACACCAAGGAGATCCCCCCCGAAGCCATCCTGCTGGGAGTCTACTTGGAGCTACAGAACGGTGAGACCTCCAACAAACACTCCCGATCCGCGTTCCCGTTCTCATCACACGAGCTGCCTGGAAAAGGCACAATAGGACAAAACATCTCCCATTGCGTCAAACGTTTCTGCTATAACGTGGGCATTTTCCATTATTCCTGCGTGAACCATCTTACACATGTTGTACTAACATTGACAAACAACGTTAATTAATAAAAGAGAATAAACAAGTCGTCTCGAAGGTTGTCATGAACAGGAACTTGTTTCTTCATGTGACTTTCTATTCAAACCCTCCTTTGGTAAAGTTCTTGGACATCGGTACATCTGAGGAACTTTGCTTCTTAGAAGTGGAGATCAGAGAAGTGAAGCATCGTGATGATGTGGCTGTCAGATTCCTCCTGATCGTCGTCTGGTCACGTTACCATTACCAGTTAAACCTCAGTTTTTTTTTATATGGGAGTGCAAATCGGAAAATGACCCCCCCCCCCTCCCCCCCGATCTGTGCGATGCGTCCTCAGGCAACACCCAGCTGGCCCTGCAGATCATCAAACGGAACCAGCTGCTGCCCACGGCGGTCCAGAGGTCTCTCCAGAATCACGCAAGAACCCGTCCAGCCCGTCCAGCTGCCCTCCTCCTTCACACAAGTTCAGCGCAAATGAGGCTCCAGAGCCTCCGCTGACCACCCCCCCCCCCCCCCCCCCAACACAACACACACCCCCCCAACACAACACACACCCCAACGAGCCTTGGTATTTATAAAGCTGCTTCCCCTCAGCATCAGGAGCCGTTTGAACTGCTGCTGGGGCTGACTGACTGACGAGGAGAGGAAATAACCGTAGACCAGCTGACTCTTTATTTCCATTTGGATGAGGAATCCGTGTGTTGTCTGAACAATGAAAATAAATTTTATTTACTGTATTCAATGTGTGTGCATTTGTTTTTTCACTGGGCAGGCCGGAGACGTTTTGACCATCAACTAAATGTACTTAAGTACAGATTCTCTCTAATATATATATATAATCATATATGGCGTTAAAAGCGCTTCGTTATCAAAAGAATGAATGCAGGATGCCACACACCTGTGAGGAGAAATTATTTCTACATCAATTCAAACATTTTATTCACAAGTGTTAAACTCACAACAGAATAGTTTGTTTTGAAGCCTCTTCTTGTCATCAGGGGATACAACTCCTGTCTACAACACACACACAACAAATCACACGGTTGTATTTATTAGTTTTACAGTCTATAAAACAACGCTCCAGGCACAGCGGAGGCCAAAAAAACAGACTTAACGTCCAAACAGATTGAAATGACTTCTTTCAAAATGGTTTAGAATATGATTGTCATTCAGTTGTGTTGAATATCGCACATCACAGCGTGCACGTGAACCGGGGTCAGACTCCGTTGAGCTGGAGACACCTTGAATGTTTTGCGTATTTACAATACGTTGTGTCAATGGGACTCGCGTACGTCCGTCTCTCCTCGTTTCTATTGAACCGTGTCAGATGAATGTCAGCACCCTACAAAAGGATTTTAAAAGCCCTTAAATGAAATGATTCATCAGATGTTTTAATCCAATCTCCTTCCTCTGATGAGTGGTCCGTGTGCAACGAGGGAGAACGGTCCAAATGGCCGTTTTTGAAATGCAGATTTGAAGCAGAACACATCGTTGGATAAAAACGGGAGTTGCGACCCAATGTTTGGGCTTTTGAATAGAACCATTTGTCTTTCTAATTGCAGACATCAGAAAATGACTCCCTTTGTCAAACCGTGTTAAGGCCTCCACCTTAAACAAAGGGCTGGTTTCCTTAGGTCCCAGACATTCAATGTTTATTGCTGAAATGCTCACATACTGTTTGAGTAGAAACACAAAAACAAAAATAACTTCATGCTGCTTCATTTCCACTGAAGCCCCCCCTCTGGGGTGGGAACCACTGACCTTAGCCGTCAATCCAACTCTCCTATTTGGCTTCTCCAGAAAAAGGATAAAGTGCTTCTGCTCCCTTGAAAACAAACCGGTATGAAATCGCATCATGTGGATGTCTGAACATCTAACTGCTACAAAGAGAAGACGTCTTTCTAACACCGGGGAGGGGGGGACTGACTGGCGCGCCCCCCTCCTCCTCCTGCCTCCCCTCCTGGCTCAGCTCTTCCAGTCCCAGGGGACACACAGGTCCCCGTCCTGCATGACTGAGTAGAAGTGAGACACACAGATGTGGAGGCCCTGCATGAGGGGGGAGCGCTGCTCCACCAGCCTTCTGCAGCACAGGATCATCTGGCTGGGACTGACGCTGGGCTCCTTGGACAGACTCCTCAGGGACAGATTCTGGAGACACAGCTTCACCACAGCCTCCTCCTCCGCCTGCAGCCTGCACACACGCACACGCACACACACACACACACACACACACACACGTACGTATCATCGAGAAGGTGTGTATTCCATGTATCATTCCATTTACTGAAGTTCAGTCTCTTGCTTTTGTGTTGAAGTCATTTGCATGATCAGCATTATTTCTTGGACAGCCACTGAGTTAAAGGACTGAATGAAAGACGTTCAGTAGCATTTCTTTCTTTGAGACACCCCTTCTGATTCCAATCGGCCGACACCGCATCGATCCGATACCAGTGTTAAAAACAAAACAGGCCATAACGCTCTTACTGATGTCATTGCGGTGAAAACCAAATCCTTTGAACCTTTTAAACTGGGTTGACTCACTGGTTTTTGCGCTGGGTGCGCTGTCTGGCCTCGGGGGCGTGGCTCTGGAGGAAGACCTGCAGCTTGGGAGGGTCAGAGCTGGTGGGGATGATGAAGTGGCCCATCTCGTGTAGGCTGGGCTTAGAGCGATCACTGGCAACGACACAAACCACAGAGGCAACGATTCGACTCTTCTTCACCGGTTACACTTTGGAATCTGACCTGCTCATTTCGACAATTTCCTTTCTGAAGTCTTTGCCTAAATGTCATCCTTGTGTGTGTGTTTCTGTGTACCAAACAGGAAGTCAGAGTGGTGCGTTCGAGAAGCTCGGGTTGCCGTGGGACAGCATACTTCTCCAACAGCATGGTGAGCCCCTGCAGGCTTCTGGGGTGCAGGCGAAGGCGTCGGGACACCAGGCTCTTGTGGAAGGCGCTGAGGCTGCCGAAGTGCTCGCCGATGGACTGGACCGGTCTCAGCCTCTCCACGTGGACCACCTGAGTGCCCCCCAGGAGAAGGCTGATCCTCTCCTTGAGCCAGTCCGTCTGCTGCTGCAGGCTGCGATAGCCGGGCAGCTGCTCAAACAGCTGGGGAGGCACAGGCAGAGGACGGGTCAGAAGAACAGGGGGGAAAAGGCGGAGAAGACATGGCGACTGTGGCCGCATTACTTTGGTCCACTGGTGATGGACGTCCATGGTCCCCAGCATGATGTGTCCAGAGGCGTTCATCCCTGACAGGTCAGCAAACACAACAGTGTGTCCTGGGGGGGGGGATTATCAGGCTTTAGGTGATTCCAAGTAAACACTCTCGGAAATGAGAGTGTTTACTTGGAAATCCCCAGGTGGCGGGACCCTGTCTGTCCTCAGCGGGACCCCTTACCTTGCAGGTTGACCAGCGCCTCGGGGTTCTGCTGGGACAGCCGGCTCAGACTCTGGAGCTGACAGCACCGGTGGGCCACTCCCCAGCTCCGCTGCCACCTGCACCACACAAACCGCTGCCGTCGTCACGGCGATACGGAGCATCTTCACCAGTCCGTGCACAGTCCATTACTACTGTGTCTTTAGATGAAGAATGACATATTTTATGGTCCCAGCGCCAACCAATTAAGAAAATCCTCAAACAAAAACCTCCGAACAGATGATCACATGACCATTTTGTTCAAATTTCTTTGCATGAATGACTGTTTATTGATAGTAGTTAAGATGTTGTTTATGAAATGCTAGACACCAACAAGTGAATGCAGCAGAAATTTGGAATATAACAACAACGTGGAACTATTGGGTACAGCCCTAGTGGTTATTTGTAGGGGGCCGGGCAACATATTTAAATGAACAATTATAGTTTTCTGGCCGGTGCCACGTCCCTTAATAAGTGTACCTGATGTCAGACAGATCAAATTTGTGACACAGCTCCTCCTTCAGTCTGTTGAGCTCCTCCCTCCGAGGTCGACTGGCGCTGTGCTTCTTCGCCGCCTCGCGCTCGTTGTTTCTCAGCCACGAGCTGACAAAGACAAGGCAGCGTGAAACCAACCCGGGAATTCTACGGAACAACTAGACTTTCTCTCTCTCATCGAGTGCGTTTCCCGCAGCGGGGCGGCGTTACTAACATGAGTGCCGGCTCCACCCTCCTGGCCTGCTGCAGCTCCTCCTCGGGGTCTCTGAACCCAGTGAAGGTGTAGTAGCTCTTGTTCCACTTGATGGGCCGGTAGAAAGGCCGCCCCGGCCCGGGTGCACTTTTAGGCGTCTCTGCGCTCCCTTTCAGCCCCTTCACGTGCTCCACCGGGAGGCTGCAAGACCTCAACACGTCGGTCACCGTGCTCAACACGTCGCTCGTGTGCAGGGTGAAACTCACTGGCTTGAACCCTGCGAAACCAGGCGGGAGCTTTTCAAATTAGGAAAGATGGAACTTGGAAGTACTCTCGGCTATGCAAAGGGAAGCAGTACCCGAGGCGAGGAGGTCCGGCTGCACATCGCTGCTCTCCTTTGTGTCCCGAACATAAAACGTTAGCCTCATCGGCTGAACTGAGCGGGAGCCGGGCTTCTGCAGGTTGTCCAAATAGCCATTCAGCCTCTTCAATGAATTCTCGTTCACTTCCTGGGAAGCACAACATGGCATTTTAACCAGTCTGGTGAAGCCTGCTCTTTCGGAAGAAAAGTCTTTGGCTGGTGATAATTAGTGTGACAGAGCAAACGCTAAAAGGGTCTGTGGGCCTGATCACACACATGACATCATCAAATGGTACTCGTCTAATCCCTCAAACACTGCAACACCACATGTCATCATTTATCCATTCACACGCTGATTGGAGGAGGACCCTCCAACCACGGGGGGGGCGCTCCAACCTGACATTAGAGTGCGATGGCTCCACCTGTGGATGAACACGTAGCGAACACAGGGCTGCTGACATGTGAACGCATCACAGCAGCATACCGGTTGTTCTGTCCCTTTTCTAGTGTGTCTATTTCCAGTCTTAACATGATGATGCATAAGAGACTCACCCGTTCTCTGGGATATTGGCCGAAGAAGTCAGGATGCACTGCAAAATAAAACGGTCTGAGTGCGTTGACGGCATCCGCCCCCGATAGAGCTCTCTGATGGACCAAATGTCTGACCACGTGTTTCCTTTCCAGCCTGCAGAGGAAAACCAAAATAGAAATTAAGTTTTAAGGTTGTAATATTTTCCCATTTAGTGTCTAAGTAGCTCACTGACTAATGATTAAGTTGATTGTTGATCCATATAGCGCTTGCTTTTCAACCTATTGTTTCCTTTGCAGTTCAAAAACTCAATATCATGCTGCTATCTGCGGTCGAAAGCACTTTATCCGTCATCCATTCAGAGATGGAAACTCATCACAGGTGAAAGAAGGTGAGAAAGATGCAAACCCCCTCCGGGACGTCCAGGAACCACATTTTTTAAATATCCGCTTTAAAATGAAGATTTAGGGGAAAACTCAACCTACAATTCATGAAATCTTACAAATGCATTGAATTAGTCTCATGTTGCAAACCCAAAAGCAAATTCCTTAATTACTTATTTTTAAAGTTTGCATCCATGATTTTTACATCACTGTGTTTTCTTGTAAGTGTATCCTCACTTTAAAGATGCTTTTTGTGTTTCAATACCTGTTGCAGTTGCTATTGAAGTCGTCTGCACACAGAAACCTTCATTTTCAAGCTTTATATCATTATGTAAATAGTTTTGTATTTTTTTTAAGGCTGCTTTTCTTTGACTACATAGATACTTAATTTAAATATGTCATCTGGTTTACTCGATATATCCCAAAAAATAATCAGGATGTGTACTATAAAAACTGATTTTTGATGGATTTCCATGAAATTAGCTAAATCCCTGCAGGAAGGTTTTAATCTTGGCCTTTCGTCCGGCACCATGAGTTTAAAGCGAAGGATGATGCTTTGGACAAAGTCCCATCGCACGGTGTCAGAGCAGCACTACCTGATGGTGCATCTCAGCAGGGAGTTGACAGACATTGTTGGTGCTGCTCAACAGATGAGCATCAGATCATCAGTCCATCACAGGTCCTGTTATCACAGTACAGCTGTTAAAACACATTCATTCAGACTGATACACTACAGGGGGGGCAGGACAAAACTATTGAGTTAGCACCCCAAAGGGAAATCAATCAATGGGCCAATTTGTTTTTGGCTTCAGTGTTTGACAACGTTGCTAATAGAATTCACTCCAAAACAAAAACAAAAAGATAAACAACCAGAACAAGTGTACTTATCAGACTGAAATAGAAAGCAACCACCTTGCAAAAGTTGGTGAAATTTATCGGGTAAGTTGAGGTTGGAGCTCCATCTTTTGTTTGTTTACGTTGTGTGACTTCTACTCAATGACAGCAGCCAAACATGGCTCCTGTTAGCCTCACAGCTAGCGTTAGCATGTAGCAGCAGTGAGGGGCAACGGGCCACCAGCGGTTACCGTCTACGGACAGCTAACGTTGGGTCATCGTAAGTTAAGAGTCGGGGCGGTCGTAATCGTTCTTACCGTGGCAGCGCAAGCTTCACTTGATGTCAGCTGATTCCGTTGCATTTTCCTTCTTGCTCTCACTGCGGTCACGTGGGACAGAATCCACAGAAACAAGCGCGCCGCAGCGTGGAGTGTAACGCGCCTCTATTCACGGTGTTACGGTACGGTGGCCTGTACGGCCCTCAAAGCGCGGAGCCGTGCCCGCATTTAAGGAATCATTTGTGAAAGACAACATTATCTTGGACATAATAATATAATAAAATATGAAGTTACACTACTGTGGTGGTTATTAAAACACAGCTGAAATTAAATGATGCTATTCATAATTTCCAAAACATTTTTACAATGGTTGTCAAATGGTTATATTAATAAAAACTAATTTCACTTGATTCTTGTTCATGAGGACCACCTTTATGTCCTGGTCTATTGTCATGATATTTTACCGTACAGTTTGAGAAAAGGAAGGATAAAGGAAGCTCAAATGAAAGAATGATATTCATAATTTCCCACCATTAAACTTTTTTTTAGGGAAGATTCTTGAAAGGTTACATAACAATGTCTGTATTTACTGGTGTTGATGATTTATTGGACTCATCAGGTGGAGAAGGCTCAAGTTTAGAGTTGGTACCTTGTGATAAACCTGATTCCTGCTGTTCAGACCTTTATTTTACCTTAAGGTTTCTTTGAGTCAGTACTGTGGAATGATAAAAGATGACCGTTTCATGCAGTTGTTGTTTCTAGTTGACAAAAAATGAATGTTCCACTTTGATGCACTAACTTAAAGATGTACACAGATATCCACAACTATATATATATACACATCTATAGATGTACACAAAGACGCACTCACATATCGACGTACAGCTTTCGTGTTCGTACAGCTTCTCTTGAAGCCAGCCGTCCTGTAAGCCCACAAAATATTGGGCAGTCCAGCCCGATTCAGATTTTCCACCAACAAGGTGGTCTGGACCTCAATGTCCTGCGAAGCCCCAAGGACACAGGAGACTGGGACGAAGAAGACTTGAAACTAGAGATTGAGACCATAAACTCATGTTTACAATGATTACTGAGGAAATTAATCAAGAAAGAAGAAGAGACATCATCTCATAGACTTCTGTACAATCACACTTCTTTTTGCAACCCAGAGTCGCCCCCTGCTGGTCAGCAGAGAGAATGCAGGTTTGAAGACACCGTAAATCACACCTAATCTATTCTGCCAAAAGGCTCACTGGCTGGAACACAAACACAGAATATTGGTGAGATTAACGCTTTAATTTACATGTTTCCACCGAACACGTTTCACTATTACAGGATAAACACTTACATAGAACAGAGCTCTACACAATATTTCAACGTGGCAGTTTAAAGAGGAGCTCCCGGAAACCCCCCTGATATATCGAACACTGAGCCAGTGCTGGTTTATCTGTAGGCATTGTTAACATATATTTAAGTAGAACAGTATTAACATTTACAGTGCTAGATGTACCAACAAAGATATAAGAGGAAATCATTTTGATATCATTCAACACCAGTGTATGTTCACCTGAGTGGCAGTGAAAACAAATACTGGCACACAAAGTAAAGGGCCACTGCTGTTGTGCATTGGGACAGGACGTAACTGGGACGCCAGTGCGACGCAGACCAGTGGCTCAATTGTCTTCGTCTCAAGTGATGGACAGAACCTGAATGATCATATTTAAGAAACTCATTACAGAAAAGAACGCAAGAACATTTGGTCACATTTGGTGAGGACAACCCTGATAGTAAAAGAATGAAATAACACACAAATGGTAATATTATGTGCACACAAATGTGTTTAAAGTTAACAAACAGATTGCCTGACCAGTGCAGTCCACCCGGACCAGTGTGCTTGTCGGCATGTCATTTCTTTGAAGGTTGAGAATGCTTTGTTCTCAAAATAGATACTGCCGATTCATGAGACGGAGCACCAGAGACGGTTAAGTGCTGACCAAACACTTGTGCCTGTGAGGCACAGTCAGGCTGAGATCTTTCCTCCTCTATTAAACGCAAAGAACAACGCTGTTGGAAATCTGGAAACTTTTGCATCTCATTTGTCCCTCTGAGTTTAACTGGAATTGTCTTGACAGCATTCAGGACTTCGTGCTGAACCCTGAGTGTGAACGCGCCCAGTCGACCCCTCCGACCCGTCACTTGTGCTCCGGGTGGCTCTGCAGGCAGGAGATCATCTCTTGGACCGGCTTCCCCTGGAAACAGATCTGATAGACGGCCGTGAACAGAGGGAACCTGGGGAGAGAGCGTGGAGACCATTAGACAGCGGAGAGGGACTCGAGCTGCAGACCTTTGCACAACAACCAGGCTTCAGTCGCACAGCAAAACGTGGAATAGCTACGTTGTGGACCAACGTGGTATTCTCACGCTTTCTTCCCAAAAAGCGTGACAATACGTTTGATTTGCAACTAGGTCACGTGACTATCAACTTTCCCTCAGCTCAAAAAAAAGAAAATGGTGGACTGTCTGTCTATCATCTGTGAAAAACACAATATTTTAAGAAAGCATCAGCATTTGTATGCATTCCGATGGCATTTCTAGCGAGAAGTATGCGTTCTATTTTCATAATCTTCTATCAGAGAATGTAGAAGACCTTCCGTTTATTAGTTTATAGTGACGTAGTTGCAAGGCGATGTAAATGAATGGGCCGAAATAAAACGTAGTATTGTCACGATTTTGGGGAGAAAGCGTGAGAATACCACGTTCCACAACGTAGCTATTACACGTTCTGCTGTGAGACTCGGTTGTAGTTCGTTGGTAACGTGGTGGAAAAGAAGTTCAGACCAGGCCAGCTGGAAGTTCTCAAACTCTGTCCTTATAACTATAACTCTTCGATATAATCATTATTATTATCATTACTATGAACTCCAACAATCTCCCTCTCCATGTGCAAGTACAAAGAGGCATTTGGATCCAACACACAGTGACCGTTCAGTAAGAAGAGCGGCGTTCATCCCAGAACAGAGCTTTTGTGTTGCCTTAACCTTAGTGAGAAGGAAAGTTTATCTACGTGAGGTACCAGCGTAAATTAACGCTTTTGTAAGAAAACCCACAAAAATGATTACAAATCAGTGAGAGGATACGTTTCCATCCATCTACGTCTGTAGCTCAAGTGACGACAGACAGGGGAGAAGTATACGCACTTGTCCACCAGGCCCTTCTGCTGCAGGATGTGGTGAACCTCGGCCGAGGTGGCCGGACCCTGCAGCTTCTGGCCATTCAACATCTCCTTCTCCAGCTGCTCGATGCTCTAAGAGCGGGATGAGAGAGAAAACACGAGGCATTAATGAGAACGCGTCCATTTAGGCCGCGACCGTGACGTGTGCAAAGCGGGTTCACTCTTACCTTTCCCGATTTAGAGAAGGCCTCCGCCACTCGCCGGTTGCGGCCGCTATAGCACGTGGTGATGAGGTCGGCCACGCCGCAGCTCTCCAGGAAGGTCGCCGTGGAGACGTTGGCGTTCTTGGAGAAGAGTCTGGTGAAGGCGATCATCTCCATCAGCCCCAGGCGGATCACGGCCGCCTTGGTGTTGTCGCCGCAGCGCAGCCCGTCACAGAAGCCGGCGCCCACCGCGACGATGTTCTGCTCCGGACACAAAATCAATACACCCCCCCGTGTCGCCATGTTATATCGATACACGCAAGTCTCTGTTTTATTATTCATATTATAAACTCAACTTATGTACCCAGAATAATAAAATCTATTGCTTTTTCTGTCCACGAGATGGTGATGAGGTCAAGGGTCAGCGTGATCCGTTAGAAAGTGATAAACAAAAATGAGACGTCAAGAGAAAGAAATTACAAATGCTCCGTCCGCCTTCAAATCCAACGTCTGGACTAGCTTGCTTGGACATGCTTATCACGGGTAGTTTCTTTCTTTGCCGATGTTGCCAACTTCTCAGTTGTACCACTGATCCCCCAAGTAAATCAAAATCGAGGCCATGAAGGGACTGGAGGTTTCGCGTGTTTTTAAAGTAACTTGAAGGTCACAAGACACTGAAGCAACGGCTCACAAGCAGCAGCTCGCAGGAACGCAGAGACAGCCGCCGGCGTCAGGGAGCTCGGTTTTTCTAGCAGGTGGACGGAGCGATTGAGTCGACGTGGAATACGCCTTGGCAACAAATTTTAACCAACCCACTTTTAACCAACCCAGAGCGAGCTCCGTCCCTGTTTAATAAACTTAGAATAAATCAGTCACGAACCTGATATAACCTATAACCCGATCCTCTGTTCTTGGTTCTTGAGTGGAAGTACATTAATATATATATTCAATATATATATATATATATATATATATATATATATATATATATATATATATATATATATATATATTAGACAGTAGTGGACTGTGTATTGTGAAAGCTCAGTAAAACCTCTGTATCAAAACATCTATTACAACCACTTTTGTTTTATAAACCACATTATAACTCAACGAATCCCAGCCTAAAGGTTTTGGAACACAACACTACCAAGTTACATAATAATTAACAACTAAAGAAACAGCGTTTTCCTTCCTTCACGTGTGTTCAGTGTTCGGTTTTGTACCTTCAGAGCTCCACACAGCTCCACCGTATCAGCATCATCCACCACCGTGATTCGGAAGTTTGGAGTCTGTAGCAGCTCTTTGAACAGCAGGCCGTTCTCTAGGATCCTACTGCCTACACGCACACACACACACACACACACACGCACACACACACACACACACACACACACACACACACGCGCGCGCGCACGCGTTATTATTATCATATGGCTTTTGACAAGACTGCCATTAAGCATCACTACCTAAAGTCAGAGTCTTGACAATCAAAGAAACCTTGTAACTCGGCTTCAAACTGGATCCTTTAAAAATAGAAAACAGACACAAAGTACCACTCACCCTGCGGGTTATTTTGAATCCCGCTTCCTAAAATAGAGTCTGCTTTTTGTGGCCCAGGTTGAAAACTAACATCCAGAAACATCCTCAACTTTAAAACATCTACTATTACTGTAGTGAAAGTAATGAGCCTTAAATTAATGGGAAAATATTAGCATTCAAATAATATTCAAATAAATACTAATGAAGCAGAACGTACTTTTGTTATAACACACATGATATTATGGGATTAACACTAAATGTATATACTAAATGTATCGCTAATGAGGCTACAAGCTAACAGAAATAAAACACACACAGCAGGTGCATGTTCAGAGGAACCACTGAACCCTCAACAGGTGTTGCACCGTGAACCATCAGCCCCTATAAGGATATAATTCTTAATATGTGCAAAACCATCTGTTTGATCATTTCAGAGGTAGCAGCACACGCGTGTCCCTCTCACCGATGGTGGTTTCACAGAACTTCTCGGCGGCCACTTCGTTTGCGATGTTTGCTCCCATCAGGACGCTGACGTCCATCCCCATCTTCTCCCGGATGATGTCGGAGATGAGGGTCAGGCCCCCAGGACCTGCGTCTATGCCCTGAGGGACAGAGAGACAGGTGGACGTGAGGCGCCGAGAGACAAAGAACAAAAGGGAGTCGCGGCAGACGAGTGGAGGGGAGACAGAGGCTGCGACATACGTGCGTCCAAGCATTGTGTTACCGTGATGCGTTGTCATCGGTCTGAACTAACACTTAAAATCAGCAGAACACGCTGATGAGGAGACGTCTCACACTCTCACCTCCCCCGATACGGAATGAAAGGTGTCTCTGAAGCACAGAAACAGTGACGCAAGCTCTGACTCACAAACACACACTTAACAAGTTGTATACAACAACTTGAAAAAGGTGGCACTTAAAATAAAGGAAACGATAGATTGCAGACAGCTGCAGCAACAAACCGTTAAATACCTTTTAACTATTTGACATGTTATAAAGCCTTGTATTTACATAGCAATGCATACATTTAAAAGTTAAAGCCTAACATGTAGACAGACATCTGTTATCAGATTAGTTCTGTTCCTGTAAGTTGGGAACCATTATGTCACTGACTTGAATGAAAGAAATCTGTTTTTTTTGTCCTTTAAAGTGGCCCGGGTTTGATTCCACCCTGTGGACCTTTGTTCCTTTCATCCTCTTTCCTGTCATTCTCTGAATGCTCTATATAAAAGGCAATGAAAGCTTGAAAAGAAAATATTTTTTGTGCGGTTTCACCAATTTCCCACCATGTTCTTTAATTCTCATATCAGATAATGTTATAGATTATTGAGCAATTACGATACTAATCTGGATGTTAGCTTTACAGTAGGATGTTTTGCACAGCAACCATCATGTTATTTTCCCCAAATTATGTTTATGTTTCTAGGCATTTTATGATCAATGGCTCGAAGAGAGAATTTATATAATTGCCATAAATGAGAAAAGCATCTTAACGTGGCAAATGTACTCAAAATAACACCTGAAATGTGTTTTGTAAGTATTATGTTGTTATTAAATGTGGCTGCATGGGCGCTGTCCGGTGCTGAAGTCGTTCACTTTTACATGTGAAAGGCATTTTTGCTTGTTGCTATAGATTTGGAATATACTTATTATATTCACTTAATATTTACTACAAAATGTAGTAATAAAAAATGGAATAATGAGGAATGTTGTGTTTTGCCATACTGGTAAAGTATGTAAATTGGATATTTTTGTTAACCCCCCTCACGTATTTCTCAGATTTTTTATAGATTTTGTTATATTCATTCAAACTACTCTTTTATTCTGAAGGATGAGTTATTCTCTAAACTGACAGCCAGGCAACAGCTGTGGCCTACTTTGCTCCTGACTTTCTCCTCCGAGGGGAATTGTGGGTAAATACGGCCTCAATGTGTCCCTGAGTCCTGCAGCGCATAAAGCCTGATACGATGTGGCCCAGTCTCCCTGTTATGGACACACACACACACACACACACACACACACACACATTCTGTTTGAGAGGAATTATATGTTCTATAAATAGAACGTCTCAGTAGATTTACAGTCACTTCAAACATAAACAAATGCTGATGAAAACATGTGCTACAGCCAAACAATATTTAAAGATACAGCGGTTACTGTTGTTTTTAAGTGTGTTCACTTTTGATCGCTTACTCAACATGGAGCATCAGATGGGTTCTACTGCTGTCTGTTTTGTCATGTGATCCTCACTCCTTTCCGTAAGAACACTTAGATATAGATTTTGCCAGGGTTTTTTATTTAGGCATTTTTTGTTTGTGTGTTATGTTGTTTTTTTTCCTTCACCAGTAACATATAAACTGTTTTTACATATTAACACTCACAGGGTTTGTTCCCCTTTATCCCCAAAGAAAATAAATTCTGTATTCTGTTATTGTTGTTACCCTTTTTATCATGGGTATGCCGGCCAAAAAAGAGAGTCTGACCCGTGGCGCTGTCCATGGTACTGAAACGGAGGCTTAATCTAAGCATTTTAAATTAGCGATTGACCTTTTGTTTTTGCTGTTTATGAACAAACCCCTCATGAGTCAGCATGATAGAAGGAAACGTTGAGCTACTAGATTCATCTTTTGCATCATTTTACACAATTATCATACAAATGATCAAAGTCAACATGGGCCCATTGTCATTTGTTTTCATTTACCTCCGCTGTGTCCAGGCAGCGGGAGCTCCTTGTGACCCGGAGGACGTTACCTTTATGAGTGATATCCCCCGGGCTTTGGCCGAGACGCAGCCCACCATCTCATCGCACAGACTGCGGATGAATTGGTGCGGGACCACGAACACCAGCAGGTCGGCTCCCTTCGCGGCGTCGCGGAGCTCCGGGACAGCCACCTGGGAGGGAAAGCAAAACAAAACCGCTTCAGCTTCCGGGAAGTTCATCAGAGCTGGAAAAGAAGGTTGGGATCCCCCCCCCCCCCCCCCGGATCTCTCACCACATTGTCGGGCAGTTTGTATCCGGGTAGGTACTTGACGTTCTCGTGCTGCGTGTTGATGATGTCGGAGAGCTTCCTGTCGCCGACGCTCTCATCGAACACCCACATCTTCACCGTGGTGGCGAAACGCAGCGACGTGGCGTTGTGTCCGATTATCCGGGCGATGGCCGAGCCCCTGCAAGCAAGGCAAAGGTCAGGAGGTCAACTTGCTTACATAAGCTGGAGACAATTTGACTCCTTCGCCAACAACATAAAATACGCCAGCAGATACAACAACAGCCGTCCGCGTGTTCCCCGATGTAACGCTGGAGCCAGGGCGGTGGATATAGACGCAGTGGGGTTGCACTGGGTCCCATGTGTTTGGGGCACTGAGTGGGTCATAAGTAACTAAAATTGTCCCCAGAGAAAATAACTCATGCTACAAAAAGCCCCCCACCTGGACGCCATTTGCTATACAGCAACCTTTGACTGGTACTCGATATATAATATCCTCTAAAAGCCAAACCTGTCACTGGCGTGGTTAGTCAGCAGCAATCAATACAATGAATAATTTCATATTTCCATGGTAGTTTTAGTCATTTTACAGATTGGTTATGTATTTTAGTCTCTGTTCCCTCACGTCAGGAAGAAATAGAAATGTACGGTTCCTGGTTTAGGGGCCGAATCGGTGAAGACAGGTGTTACGCTCCGACTGGTCTTCCGACCTACTGGTTTCCCTGCGCGTGCGTGTCCGCCTGCTGTTTGTCTGCCTCTGTCGCCCCGATTAGTCACACGTTCACAAACATGCCGAGTGGTCAGTTTACCAGTTTCCGGAGCCGACGATGCAGACTTTGAGCGGAGAGGCCATCGGGGACGCGCGCTGGTGGACGCGGGGCTACAGAGGGCGCAGCGAGCCGCTCGGCCGGTGGCGCAAACGGGACGAGCTCGAGCTCAGCGTCGTCTCCTGATGACGACACAGTGTGCGCCGCGCGTGCACACGCTGTTTTCCATGCATGTCGACGTAAACGGCAGCCTCCGGATTACATAACGGGGTTATTATTAATAGAGGATAACTTTTCCTTTTCCTGCAGATATTGGGGTTTTAATTATGAATATGAAATAATGCACAACAACTTTGTTTGGTTATTAACGTAGTAGACGGAATGTATTGTGCAGCTGCAACAACACAACCCAGTATGCCTGTATTGTCTAAAAAAGAAATGCATTAGAAGTATTTCAAAAGAAAATGCAATGGTGTGATTCCCGTTTGCTTGCTCTGTACAATATGTTCTGTCATCAATTAAGCACCAAAGGAAGAAAATGGCCGTATCCGTGCTTGCATTTTAAAGCTATTTATTGCCGTGATGTTCACTTGTACCTTTAGACACAACACACAGTTTAGAAGCTCTCAGCGTGTGACGCTCTCTGTGGTTTTACTGCATTACCGATTCCCTTGTCGCCTGCTGCGAGGGGGGAGTATCCCGGGCGAGGGGGGAGTGACCAACCCGGGATTTCCAAACTGAAAAACGCAATAACGTCAGAGAGAGAGAGAGAGAGAGGGAGAGAGGGGGAGAGAGGGAGAGAGACAGCGCTCCGCAGTGAAACAGTCGGAGTATCCCTCCAGTCTGTAAACAGAGTCCCAGCAGGCTGGAGGAAATAAGCCCCACTTGAGTCTCACTCTCTTTCATCTCTTTCGCTTTGGCAAAAAAACAAACAACCCATAAAAGCTGCATCAAATCTTTCACTTAAAATCTCAATCTCTCTCTTCCTCGCTCTTTCTGCCTCTTTGCGCGTCTTGTTTTTGCGCCGTAAAAGCGACCGGGGGCGCAAAGCCTGGCGGCAGCAGCAGCGGCATGGAGCGGCCAGCCCGTCCGGAGAGCCCCGCTTGGAGCCCCTGCAGGAGGCAGCAGCAGCAGCGGCTCTCCGAGCCCTGCGGCTCCGCTGCGGCGGTGCAGCGACCCGGGACCACCGGGACCACCGGGGACGGCGGCGCGGGGTCGAGCCCCTCGCTCCACAAGCCCGCCCGTTGCAAGCGGCCCCTGGAGGGGATCCTGAGGAAGTACACGAACCCGCTGCAGGGCTGGCAGAGCAGGTGAGTCCAAATGGACTTCGGGTCCGTGGTTATTCTACGTTTGGTCCAATGATTTCAATCGAGTATAAGCATCCATCATAGTTGTGTTAATTACCTCCTGAGGTGCCCAAACTATATTTTCCATTTCCCTATGTGAATATTTAACAACTGCCTTTTTAAATGCATTTTTGCAATGGTTTTTTAATAAAATGTGAATCCCGTATAGAGCAGTGAGTTAATACCCACCCCTCAACCTATTTCTCTGTCTGGTTATAGATTTCTTACTAAAAGCATGTATAGGGGACAAATTCATCAGTTTTCAACAAAACTTTAGTCATTCATTGTGTATTTGACCAACACTGCATAACTTCAGGGCAACATCGACTAGATTCTGTGGACAGGGGTGAGTAAACCATCGGGTTGTATTTCCACCGGTACCTCTCTGTGTGCGCGCGCATCCTTCCATTCATTCATTTGGTCTGAATCTGCTTTGATGGCTCAGTGAGAGGAGATGCGGGGGTGGGAGTCCCAGAAACACTGAGTGAGTCATCCAGGATCAGGAAAGCCCTGCACTTCTCGCTTGCATCGGAATACTCCCACTCCTCTCTATCCTCTCCCATCTTCTCCTCTCCTCTTCCCTCCATCCTCACCTCTCCTCTTCCCTCTATCCCCTCCTCCCCATCCTCTCCCGTCTCTTCCTCTCCTCTTCCCTCCATCCTCACCTCTCCTCTTCCCTCTATCCCCTCCTCCCCATCCTCTCCCGTCTCTTCCTCTCCTCTTCCCTCCATCCTCTCTGCTCTCTACACCCCATCCTCTCCCCTCCTCTTCCCTCTCCTCTCCATCCTCTCCTCTTCCCTCTCCTCTCCATCCTCTCCTCTCCTCACCCGTCTTCCTCTCCTCTCCTCCCATTAAACGCTCCCTCTCCGTCTCACTCTCCCACTGTCCTATAGGGAATCGATCAAAAGAGCATCCAAACGTGTAATGACCTCCATGATCACATTTTGACTGTGTTATGGGCTTACTTTCTTCTGAACACACACACACTTACACTCCCTCCTGCACTGCTGACACGAGAGTTTGCGTGTGTTAGCGCTTCAGATGGTTTTGTGTGGGCGTGTGAAGGAATATGATATAAATATCCCCATTATTGATTAAGCCCCAATCTTTGGTTTGATTTTAGTTTCTGTTGGAGCGAGCTGAGCCTGGAGACAGACGGTGTCACTTTGAATATGATTGTTGCCTTATTGTTGTTTGTCAGTCCATCATTGTGACGACGGATAATTAACCAACTGGCCAGAGAGTAATATCGGCTTTCGGTGCAGCTGCCAAACTCGATTAACAATGTTTATGGAAGTCTTTTTCAGTTATGACTTTTTCATGATGAGAAAAATTGTCACAAATCAAAACCCCTGGAGTAGCAAACATGCACAAAACACGCCAATGGACTCAGCCCCCCCCCACCTCCCCTCCCCTCCCCTCCCCTCCCCTCCCCACCCTCCAGCACCACTTTCAGTGGCCCAGATATGATATCTGTTGCCGTGCCACCGTTCTGACTCCCATCCTTCCAAAACCCCAATTCAACCACAGAACAAGATGTTCATGGTAATCGGAAAAAGACGAGAGCTGCACAATATTCCCAACTGACTAAATGACTACAAATATGTGTATTTATTCACATGATTGTATTCAGTTTCGAACAGAAACCTTTTTTGGTCAGACCTAAATTGAGGGAAAAGTGGATCCCATTTGTCCCTTTGTCCGTTTCCGAAACAACAAATGCCCTCGATCTGACGGCCTAAAGCCCCCAAAACAAACCTTCAAGAAACAGAAGTGCATTACTTATTAGTCCTCTATTGCAGCTGTGTATTAATCTGTAAGCTTAAACAAGCCTAACAGATAGAGAGAAGTAAGCTATTAATATTACCTACGTCACCGTCTGCCATCTCCCTCCGCCCGCCGTGCTCTCATGTTTTGCAAAGGGGAGGGGTTATGATATTGTTTATGACGAATACGTCTCTGGTATTCCAAATTCTGTGTCTTTTATAACTGCTGTATATCACAGTCTTCCTCTCTGTCAATTATTCTGACACTCTATATTTCATTCCTCCTTTTGTCCTGAACACCATTGTTTCTGTCGGAGCCCCCACTTCCCCTCATGGTCCCCGCTTTGTTTGATTTAGAGCCTCAGTGAGGTTCACCTAATGGTCGGCTGGACATCTGGCGGACAGATAAGTGAGGTGTAAAGCTCGGAGAAAGATCAATGCGCTCTCCAGCCGAGCCGCTATTTAGCTTCCTTTTTTCTCCAGCTCTTGTTTCAGTGCAGGTTTCAAGGAGACAACTTACATGAAACCAACTTACTTCACCTCCATCTGCTCTGGTCGACGGACCCCTCTGCCTGCTTTTGCAGTGTGAAGTGGTTTCACTATAACTTTATCTCTCACTCCCATCTGAGGTGGTCAACGAGGACTTTTTTTGTCACATACTGTTTTAAGCCCAATTTTGAATTATTCATAATGCAACTTTGATGCTTAAGGTCTTTTTAACCCCAAATCCGTACTTTGCCTCGTCCCCAGTTTTTCCACTTGTAAGACTCTTACACTTACTTGGAGTTATTTACACGCAAAGGTTTACATATTTGTTATGTAACTACAACTGTGGCTGACACTTTAAAATACCACTATTTTACATTTAAATGTAATGGCAGATAACTGCCAAATGCATTCATTCAAAACCCAGCAGCTTCTGTCTTTTTTGTGGAACATAATGTTCTACTTCTAATTCTCTCCTTAGCTCAATTGACCGTCGCTGCTCACTGAGCCGAGGAGGAGCGGCCAACTTTGGATGCTGTGTTTACATTTAGCAAGTGAACCGGCGTGGAATGTGGTACCTTCAACCTTGCTGCAGTTACATCATAAATCATCAAACTGTAACGCTTGTTGTGAGGCACCCACGGATGATCAGACGACGCTCGCACGTGTGGCGATTTGATTTTGGAATAGAGAGGATGTCTGCTGCATGCAGTCACATAACAGCAGCGGAGCGGAAGAAACAGGTTGCTGTATGAAAATAGATTTAAATTATTCACAGTGGCCCCTTTCCTCTCATTCTTGTCTTGTAGTAAACCTCTCCTCGCGTTTGGTCTCTACTCCTGTGGCACTGTTGCTCTCCTCATCCATCCCAGCTTCAGTTGCCCCCCCCCCCTTTCCATCAGAGGCTCTTATCAGTGCTTAAAGATACTGCTTCATGACCATATTAAAGACTCAAGGGTAAAATCACTCAGCGCTCAGCAGCTTGCATAGGAGCTCCAGTTTGAGATGGAATACGATTTGTCCTCATTCTCACCAGCAGTGGAGAATGCTGACTGAGCAATGCTGAGAGAGAGATTTATTTTTTTTATTTTTCAAAGATCCTTCAAAGAAAAACCAACAAAACTTGGCATTGCTAAGAAACAACGCAAATCCCGAGTGTCGGACCAGCGCGTCCTCCCAGACTGACACACTTCAGACCCCAAATATCCACCAAGAGGTTGGTGTTGTTGGTCGGTTTGTAGAAGCCTCCACCCTGAGCCGAGAGAGTGGGAGTGTAGTTGGATTCAAGTGTTTTTTAGCATTAATAGTATTATTAATATTATTAAATTCATCCGATTTTACGGAACACAAATTACTCAGGTATCTTTTATAGCGAAAATAATCTGCCATGTTTGCTTATAGTGTCACTATGTTTCGAGTACAGGAATCTCTGCCTCCTCTTAGTGCTACTTGCAGTCGTAAGATTCTATCGTTTCCAATGAAAAAAGACTGAATCCAGACTCCGTCATGGTATCACCTTTTTCCATCACGAAACTCTTTCAGAAACATATTGTCGTGTGCTGTTTAGCTGTAAAAGGAAAATCCTTTTAACCCGTCTGCCATGTTGAAAACAGTGACATTAAAATCGCTGCCCACCAACCAGCTGCTTTTACTGACTTTATAGTCAGTATTAGACAGATTTCAAGGACCAAATCTACAAAGGTATAAACATGTCAGAAAATAACAATTATTGAAGTCAGAATAAATCAGAATTCTAGTATCTGTAGTCTTGTTAACTTTACTGAAAAAACATTATAGAGAAGTACATAAGAACCATGAAAAAATCTCATTGTCAAGACTGTTTTCATCTGAAATGTGTGTTGGAATTTGATCATATTCCTTCTGTAGTTCAAGATAATAGACTGAAAGTTGCAATTTAAGCAAGAATATCAAATTCATATGGTTGAACTTTATGTTATCACCACTTTTAGGGTTGAAACTGAAACCGGTTCTATAATGGAAGTGTTTGTGTCTGTACTTTATTCGAAAAAGGTATTTTTGCCCAAGTAAAGGGCTGAAAGAAAATGAACCAAGATACAATTAATTAGATTCGAGGGAAACTATACCGCACTCACTTACGTTAAGTGCAAACCCAAGTGAGTAAGTCAATAAGAATAATAGATCAAAACACCTATTCAACTGGCAGAAAAGTGACATATTCAACTGCTTTGTGTCGTATACTACTGATGGTTCTTAATCATAGTGTATATTGTGAAGTTACTATATTGGGCTTTTACAATGTCCCTAAATCCTCAAAAGGAGCCACTGCTCTAAGGCCTCTCTGTCCAAACCATTTAGCCTTTGCTCAGCCGCTCTCTATATCGAAGTTCTCTCATGTCTCTTCTGTTGACGGTGTCTTTATGTCTCCCTCTTTCCTCCTGCAGATATTTCGTACTGGACTCAGAGGATGGCCAGCTCCAATATCACCTGAATGAACTCAGTAAAGGCCAGCGACCTCCCAGAGGGTCTGTGCCTCTTCTTGGAGCAATGGTGGTCTCCTGCGACGAGTATCCCTACATGTTCACGATTCGATCCACTTCTGGGGACGCCTACAAACTGAGAGGTAAAATAATGGCTCCTTATGTGATATTTGGAAAATGGCCTGAGATGGGAATTCTATAACTCAGCGACGCTGCTGTTCCTCCTACTCATTTGTTGTCATGGTAACCGGACCCCCACCGTCCCAATAACAGTTTCAGCTTTGCCCCTTAATGGATGGAAAAGCAAAGTGTAACACGGAGCTTCTTCCCCGAGACTGAGCATAGTACGAAGGCGCCATCAGGTCAGAACTTTACTTTGAAGGTGATCGATGACACAGAGTTAAATGTTGTCAGCAAAATCTGTTCACACAGTGTACAGAGCGACTAAATCTTTGAGGTGGGTACATACAAATGTAAGATTGTATGTAAAGGATTCATAGCATGGATGTATTATCAAAAATGATTTGCTAAAAGAAAACGCTACGGCAGCACGAATAATGACTATGAAACTAATTAAATTAAATGAATCCACAAAGTGCATTGTTTTTCTTCATGAACTGAATGAATTGTGGTCTGCAAGTGTCCACTAAGAATACTGATTTCTATGCAATAATCAGAAAAGTAAAATGCAGAGCTGACAAATTACAGCATTGTTTGAGGTGTGTGTGTGTGTGTGTGTGACACATAAAGAATACTGTGTGATTGGCTGTGCTCAGGGTCACAGTATTACTGTGGCTCAGAGTTGTGCGAGTTGCTCAATCTCCATAAGTGAGAGCTGTAATTTCCTGTTCACACTCACAATGGCTTTTTGACAAAGCTGTTCTCAAGTCAGATCAGATATTTTTAGCCCTCCTCCTCCGTGTAACCTCATAACGCTTTTGCATTTGGCTCCTCTTGTCTTCTCTGTGAGATCTTTAATTTACCTCTCGAGCACCTTATTACAATCTGTTCCATCAGAGAGGGAGGTTTGGCCTTTGTTAATGCCACAGAGTTAAATGTTACAACGATATGAAAGTGACATGGCAGAGAATGTGCTGAACCTGTGGAAAAAACTGTCCCTGGTAGGAACAAAGATGAGCCCTGGGAAAAGCCCGAGGTCGCCTCAGTAACAGTAACAAGGTCAGGTTAAAATAGCCAAAGGTCTTATGAAGCTTTGGCTTGTCAAAGAACAAAGACGTGTGATCAATTTGAGGCGAGATACTCGCTTGCCGCCAGAGAGGAAAATGAATATCGCATGACTCATTCGTGTACTTCGCCGTCATTTGAGACTTAAAAACATCTGCCAATCAAACTTTGGCAAGAACCGGTCAAGGGAAGAGCTAAAGCAGGCGCAGTACTTCAACCCAAACAGCAACACAAGGAAAAGCATCACTGTCCACTGAACTCACAGAGATCCACCTTGTTCTTAAGGGATACGTCTGATGTTTGATTAGTTCTGTACGTACTGGTCGATCCGTTAAGATCATAAAAAGTACACATTACTAGCACCCTTCTTTTGGTGACTATGAGCGATTTGATGGGACTGTAGTTGGGTTTAGGCTGCCGCAGCCTTTCCTGTTGCTCCGGTCATTGATTGATGGTTAATCCCAGCTGCAGCACATTGGACATTAAAAGGTTTATCTGACTCTCTGTCGCTGCGAGAGTCTCTCTTTGAGATCTACTCACAACTATCAATAACCGAGGATTCGCAATTATCTAATAAAAATGTCACTAGTTATTGCTATCTGACGCTGTCAAAGTGGCCAGCAGGTCAGCAGTTGATGCTGTGCGCCCGTTTGTTTCTCCCGTTAGCGATAGACGCCCAGGAGCAGGAGCTGTGGATGACTCAGCTTCAGCTGTGCACCCGACGCCGCTCTGAAAGCAGCGCCAAGGTATTCACACACTCACACACACACCACCCTCCTCCCCCCGGGCCTCCGTATTGGATCAACGCTGGTCTAAATCACACAGAGGTGTACAGACAGGTTTGGTTTCTGGAAACAATGGAGCTGGACTATATTTCTATTGACTATGTTGCTCCAGCTCAGCTGCTCCTCACGGCGAGGTCCGTCTTATTCAGCATTCCGGTGCTGCTTCACTCCTGTTCCCCAACAGCTGAAGCACTCCCGCCGATGTCACTAATGTTTGGTTCTCCCGGCCGCCATTTTGCACTTTCAGGTACATTTAAAGGTAATGGTTACTCTAGGTAATGATGTGTGCTCTGACATTAAAAGATAAAAGCATTTTTGTCTCTTCTAAACGGACTAGTCACAGAAACACACACGAGCTGTGCGCTTTGATGCTGAATTACACGTTTTCCCGCTCTGCTCCATCTCACCGCTGAAAGCCTCCGAACAGCAGCTTCATTCCAGTCCTTTGGAAACGCGGCAAACCCAAGAGCATAATAACGTCTGCACGTCTTGGTCGGTTTAGAGTGCTCCTGCATGGGTTGGGGTCGTTCTTTTATTTTTTGCAGAAGCCCATCTAACGTACACGCTGCTGACGGCGTCATCAGTTCATCTGCCCGAGCAGCGTGAAATGAGTCAATTTGTTTGCGTTGGAGGATGTGGACGCTTTGTATATTTTCCTGGCTTTTGGTCCATTCGGACCGCTGTGTTTGCGTGCTGTTTAATGATGTTTAATGAACAGCAACTTTCCTGTTTGTACCAGGTGGCGACGTCCATTTCCGCCAAATGAAGACGATGTGAAAATGTCTTCCGTTGCAAAAAGAAGTCTAGACAAAGTGACTCTATTTCTCTCAGATTCATTCTGTCAGTAAACATTTGTTTTGGCGGCAATCTTTTTTAAAACTACATGAAGTTCATTTAGTAAATCATGGTCCCTTGTTTTTCCTGTTCCCCAGTGTCACGTATTACTAGTGATTGCCTTACTTTTTCCCCTGTGACCCTCACCAGGGTGCACAGTGGTTTTTCCTGTATTTTGGTGTTGGTTTTAGGTCTGCACATAGTTGTGACCTGTTTAATTCATAAGATAATTAAGAGTTATGAACCAACGTATGAAATCTCAAACATCTAGCCTGAACTTGTATTTTGCTTTTACACTTTTCTTTTGAGTAGTAAATGAGTTTTCTTTTTTTTTAAGCAGAAGCCTCTTATTATATTTGACCCAAACCACAACTCCTTTTAACACATAATCGGCGTGGCAACATCATGAGCTGTCTGAAAGGGCCAGTTGACTGGAATAAAGGGTTAACTTAACACTGGAACGGGTCGGCCGTCTCCACTCTGTACGCATCTGTCATTTTTGTGCGCTGAAACAATGTCACGTTTTCCTGCTTTAAACCAACAGTAGTTGTAGTTTATCTAGTGAAAACCGTCTCAAGGAGGCATTGCTGCATCTCCTTTTCCAGCTCGTGCAGTTTTTGGATCAGGTCCAAACGGTTACTGTAGCTAATATACCATTACATTATAAAGCAATAAATCCTCCCTAATTCCTCCAGCAACATTTGGACTCTCCGGCGGTGTCTGCTGGAAGACGTTGCTTAGTGAGGGAGAGGACGTGATCGTCTCATTTTCCTCTCCCATTACACGGCGATCCGCTTTGTTGCACAGCGGTGAAATAGAAGAAAAGGGCTCTTGAGGCGTGGGAAGCACACTTCTTCTATGAAGGGACGTGAGCCAGCCGAAGCAATGCAAAGTCTGCCCTCTCCGTGGCACCCAGCGGAGAGCCTCTCGTTCCGGCTGGATGTCCCACCTGTGGGGGCTAGACGATGCTTGAGTTGAGACAACAGGACAAAGTCGTCACTCATCAAGACAAAATATCATCTGTCACACTGATAAGTATCTTCCGCACTACCTTGAGTCTTTGCAGCACTCAGAACTTAACCAGCTCTGCTTGCATCGCCACTATGGGCCCAAAGTGAAAGCTTTTAACCTCCTGACTTCCCAAAAAGTGGACTTCAATATGGACACTGGAGACGTATTACTTGTGGTAAATGTAATCAGGTTAAAGCGTATCTGGTTACCATCGGGATAGAAAATACATATAATGCATTCAAAGGCTTATCAGATGCCATGGTTGTGTTATATTACAATAAGTGCATTTAAATCGAGAGGGTACAGACCGAGAACAACAAGAATCTAGAAAGTACAGTCTATACTTGAGCGGGAGACCATTGCTCAGGCCTCCACAAAAGGCTTTTATGCCTCATGTGTTCCTCAGTGCAGAATAAATATGCTGTGAAGGAGAGGGAAGTGAATGAGTGTTCCCAAAAAGAACGCCATGGAACAGACGTGCAACTCTTCAACGCTGAGGAGCAAATGTAATACATTTTGAACTCATTTCACATCAAATTTGTGGCAGTCATGTCGCAAAAACCCAAACGTGAACAACCGACCACCGAAAAATACCTGCGTAGCCTTCAAGCTTTGCCCCAAATGTGTTATTTTTGTTCTTCGCGCCAGGAGCACCACAGCAGGCGTCGCTCTATACTTAGAGGCTGTTGTGGGTGACAGATTGGTGTGAGATCACATTAAACTCGTTTCTCACTCATTTACATGACTCATCCATGTGGGATTGCTGTAATTTCACTGATACGCTGTAAATATCTTTTGTTGTAGACAAGTAGGTTCAAACCGAAGATTAGAAAAAGTGGATCCATACAGATTCATGTCGGGGCTTACGGACGTGCCCGTAATTCTGTATTCTGCGTTTGGTCCAGCATCACTGTTCAGTCCAGTCACCTGCAGGAGCCTGTGAACGCACTTCATCTTCACGACTTATGGACCCAAACAGTAATCAAAGTAAGGGTTCATTGTATCGGGAGGCTGTTCGAGGGTCTCTGTGTGTGTCTGTGTGCTTGCATGATTTCAACTGTGATAGCGTTCCATCTTCTAATAGCTCTTCTCTCGCCGTTTCATCAGCAAGCGCCGCTGACTCACCCTCCCCAGAGAGGGACACGCGTGCGGGTGAGGCACGATCTGAGCGCTGGGTGTGCTCGTATGTGTGAGTGATAGACAGCGGATGGAAAGAAGGACTTAGATCTCTTGTAGCTGCATCTTGGACAGCGTATATATGCAAAACGTAACAGTAGACTTTGTTACAGAACTGCCAAACCCCTTTTGGCTTATTCATGAGGATTCTATAATATTCGGAGAGGGATACCACATAGGAAGATTCCTCCGCCCAGAGGAAATGTTGCTGATTATTACGGGATGGACTATGATATAAATAATATATATGTTTATAAAAGCTACTGAGAAACATCAGCTGAATTTGGAAGGAACGGCGGCTTATGCACAGATAGCAGCCGCGGTACCAGATTAAAATTCGGCCCCAAGGCTTGCTGTGAATTGTCTCAAACAGATTATCGTCACAGCAATAAAGGAAGCAGCAAGCTGTGCAGAAAGTAGGAAAACTAAACATTATTATTATAAAAAAAACTTTTTAGAAGACTACAGAAATAGGATTAGACAGATGGTTTTTGTGTAGTGGTGTTAATCCCATCACGTTTTCAAGAAAAAAAGTACAATGTTCCTGGTTTAATAAAATTATTTAATTTGATATAAATTGAATCTATGTTGTATCTATGTCTGTTCTCTTAAAGCTTCATTACAATTTTGCACCTATTGTATTTCAAGTGGACAGTCAATGATCTGCTTTCATCCTCTGGTTGCTTTTGAGAGACCATCAACCTGATGGTTTTGGTAAATGAAAGATGAATTTTCCAATATAAATATTTCTAACATATTACTCCATTGCTGTATTTTGGGTGGCCAAACTCTGTGCTTCAGATGGTTCTGCGCTGATCGCAGCGTTTCCTTGCTTACACACTATGTGTCCGACTGAGCCCCAAAGGCTGGAGATCAGAGGTATTGATGCTTGAAGATTCTGGGAAAAAGGATGGAGGAACGAGCTGTAGCTACAGATGAACTGAGAGACATTCATCACAGCTCATCTCACACGCTCATTAAACAAGCTGAGATGTCCCAGTGGCTCTGCTCTGTAATAACAGCGACAGTGCTAATTACCTCCCGAGGTCAGAGAGAAAACCCCATCGTCCCAAGTCGCTTTCCCCTTTGTTCTCCTTCGTTATACAGAAGAAGTCAAACATTGTCACACTCTCCTCTCATTCAGAGTCGCTGCGTTTTATTACCCTTCAACTACCTTTCTCTCTCCATTGAAATGCTCCCTGCCCACGTACTTTAATCTCCATCTCTTAACATTCAGGCCTGGGAGTGTGAAGATCCTTTGAATCGAAACGATTCAACTGCAAAGTGTGTCACATACTCTCTGCACTGAGGGGCGCGCTAGAATCATGCGGCGTCAGTCACCGCATCCCGACTGCATCTTGTGGCTAAAGTTTGACATGGGTGCCGTCCGATAAGATGTCCCTCTTTCTGTGTCACTGCTGTTTGGCAGCAGAGGTTACAAGTCAATGTTTCTTATGTTATTAACAGTTTGCTTCTTTGTGTGTAGGTGATGATCCAGGCTGAAGATCAGCAGAAGAGCCTGATCAACTCAGTCGAGTCCCTTCCCCCTCGAGTTGGACCCCTATCCTCTCTGGATGAGGTAACGTGCGATGTGTTCTGATGTGGCAGCATGAGAAAGCAATGAGGAGCACACCCGTCCAGCCTCATGAGACACGCTGGCTGGGTTCTGGATGAAACCTTCGTAATATAAATCGGTTTCAGGTACATTTCTTTGAGTGGGTTCTCATTAGCACCTCCTGGAAAGAACCTCCAGAGACGTTTCGTGGGACCATTAGACGATAAAAGGGTTAGAACCTTTGAGAGAGGGTTCTGTGTGGAGCCGTTCACACATGGTTCTAGGTATAACCATCGGTGTTGGATTCTGAGTGGAACTCTTGCTCACCTTCTTTCCTTTCTCTCTTTCCCCTCCCCATCGATCAAGGACCTACTCATTTTTAAGGCCACATCTGCAGCAACTCTGAGCTGCCTGGGGGAGTGCCTCAGCATGCTTCAGCACAATGTTGTCCAGGCCCTCAACCAGAACCAGAACCAGAACCACGCCCCTAGTCCGAGCCTCAGCGCCGGTTCAGCTGCTGTGAGCGAGGCGTGCAGTCAGCGCTGCAGCTCCGGCGTGAACCAAGTGGAACCCGGCGGCCTCCGGTCCGCCAGTCAAGGCTCCAGTCCCAGAGACAGCAGCCACAGTGGGACGCGACCAGGCGTCCACAACCACGTCCAAAGCCAGAGTCAGGCCCGTGAACATGCAGGTGGGTTGAGGGATGTCCGGGGAAACTTGAATAATCAGAAAGGAGGACTCCCTTTATGTATTTGGCCCGCGTACTTTGACTGCATCATCAGGTCACTCCCTCTGGAGGCGTCTTCTTGGCTTCTTAGAGTATCTTCTGATTGATATGTTCATAAACCCGCCAAGAGAGCCCTTTAACCTAATTACAGAAAAATGAGTCCCATTCACTCCTTGTCTGGTGGTCTATTGTTCGGGATCCAGTACTTTGTGAGGATCTCTGCACATTGCACATAAGTCAATGTTTGTTAGCAAGGTGAACGATGATGCAAATGTTTGGTGTCAATGGGCTTAACGCTGGAAGGAAAGTGTGCAGATTTGAAGCCAAGAAGCCGTGACCAATTTTGTCTAAAAGCCAGAGAAGCCTCAAAAACGTTCTGTCTCGAGTTATCACCAGAACCTTTGTGAGTTGAGCTTTTTTATGTAAAGTCGGGCAGCATGACTTCTGAGTTGTTTGGAAATAATATTTTGTTCCAGACTGGTTTGGACGTGTTTTTTCAAAGCTGATGGTAAAATCATTTTGACGGATGTAAACGTAAAGTGTGCAAATATACATTACATGTACAGTATAATACTATTACTATGGTCAGGACAAAGAGAAAAAAGACATAAAGATAAAGACAAAACAGTCAATTCATTCTCATGAAGTGTTCTATGTCATCTGAGTTCTTATTGAATGACGCGCTTGATCTAATCAAAACTCTGCATCCTAAAAGGGTTTTTCAAATTGAATTGGAAGTGAAGAAAAAGGTAATAATAAAGTTTAAAAGTAGAAACATTTACTTTACTCCAATTACTAATCCAATCAGGGATTTTTCTAATTTGGTATGTTATTTATATACCAGTCAGTACATTTTACTAAATTGAGTTGTATCGGGTTGCGTTTGCAGGCCTTATTACATTTTCAAAAGGTCATTAAATCAGATGGGTCCTCACTCCCCAAAAGGACGGCTGCTTATGATTTTTGTTGACGTCCGTCTTTCTTGACCAACCCTTTGATCCTAAGTAAACTTGCACTAATCTGCGATGTAATTCTTTGTGCCCGGAGAATGAATGAGCATTGCAGGAAGGTGCATTGGGAAGAATTTATCATTTCCAGAATTAGCTGAGTTTTGTTGTTGATGCTATTGATATTTCCCCTTTTGCTGCAGATGGCACCGCTGGATGGTCCAGATCTCTTTCTGTGAAGCAGGTGAATAATGGCGTACGAACGCCTCTCCCCTCCTCTACGCGGCCTTCTTCCTCACCAACACACAAGGACCCTTCTGAGGTAATCGACCACATTACTTCATCCTACATCTCCTTGATCATTATGCAAACAGACATTTACGTGGTCAACGGAATTCTACTCGCTGTGTAATTTCTTTAATACACATTTCAGTACGTTGTTTTCCTTGCTTGCTGATGCATTGACTTAATTACATAGTTGTTCATGCACATTCATCAAAAAGCTTATTGTGTAAACCCTCAAATGAAGTATTTCATCCGCCCATCGGAGCTTTTAAACATAAATGTAATTTTATATTTCATTTAATCTTTTTATAGTCTAGAATTCTCATCTTTAAAAATGAAAAAGCTAAATTCTCAAGTATCATTTACGGAACCCAAACAGAAAGACATCAGAGGGAGTCTCTGTGGTCGGTGAAGCTTTAGACTACAGCTTGCAAATATTTATACAAGTGTCAAAGCGGAGCGTTGAAACGCTCTGTACGTTTCCACTTCGACACTTCGACACTTCTTTCAACACATCCTCTAAAAATACAACGCCGCCCATCCTTATGTTCACACTGAACCAATTATTTCTGGCCTACGTATGGTACAAAGTGTACAGTTTGAGGGTATCTTGAAAAGAAGCAGTCCAGGGACTTCCTCAAGGACATTGGCCTGGCGCCAGTGCAGTGTGGGCATTTGGCTCCATGCTGTGCTCTGGCCCTGCTCCTCTGCTGATGCTCCAGTCTGTGACACACTCCCTCCAAAAGGGGGCCATCCACCCCGTGTGTATTAAAACATGGCAGCCTTGTCTTTGCAGTAATAATCTCTGTCATCCCGTCCAACTGGAGCAGCACAAAAAGACATTATGTGGCATCATGGCTCAGCTGCAGTAATAGCTGCCCTCGAGCACCTCTCCTGGAGTAGATTGCCCCATCACCACAGTTTTCCTCCTTTGCACTGGTTACCAGTGGCGGGGGTCTCAGGTGGTCCGTCTGTACCATTCTCATGAACAAGATATGCCGTCTGTGAGGTCAATATGACTTCACATGAGTGCCAATCTTGTGAGCACGTTATCTCAGGGACGCCTGAAGGGAATGTCTTCAAGTTTGGCCAGAATTCAACCTACTAGAGGACGGAGTGTTTTTTGGTGGTCAAAAGCCGCTGGGACATACAAAACATTTCTTGGTCATGAATGAATAATTGATATACTGATTATGATGATTATGTGTGCTTCATGAAGTGATGACATTTTGGACGGACTTTTCAGTCAACCTCCACATGCCAAGTTCAGCTTCTTTGCTGCAATATGATTTATTTCATATTTTCACAAGTCCAAACATTTAAGTCTTGTTTACATTTGATAATTTGAATTTGATGCCATCTTTTTAATCGAATGTTGTTGTTGTTTTTTTCGCAGAGGAGATATTAAACACCCACTCCACTCATTTGACATTCCTTGATTCCTCTTTCTGAGCAGCCAGCGACGTGTTAAACACTTTTCCCCCAAGCGTTTCCTCCTCGACAGTGAGCCAGTCCTTCTGTGCACACAAAAAACATAATTTGCTCCTTTTACCAACATGTGGGCAGTTGATCTTGACTGATTGTTGACGCCGTAGAGCTGGTTGCAGCAGCAGGAGCGGATGCTTTTGGTGTGCTGCATCAACAGGCTTTGACCTGCTATCAACACACTCTTCTCTGGTTGGTATAGATTTGACTCACAAGGATGTCATTGTCTGGGCCTTTGTGTTGCCCCTTGAGCCAAGATAATACCACTGTAACGTTACTCACGTAGCATAAGTGTGGATGCTGTGAGCAGGGTTGCACCATGTAGTGCTCCCTGGGCATTGTAGTTCTTACTGTGGATCACAGTAAAGAGAGCAATGAGCACTATATACAAACAAGTAGCCTACCGGACCACTAATGTTCTCTCCCTGGGACCCTCCAGCTCCCATCAGTTTGTTTTTTCTGCCGTCCTCATACCCGTCTCCTGTAATGAGTGCCATCAATCTTAGTCCTTGGACCAGAGATGGCATCAGCGAAGTATTGATGTCTGTTTTGCTTCTCTGCGTTTTGCTCCTCTCTCTCCTTCTGTAGGAATCAGTTTTCTCCACGTAGTCCGTCAAAGGGGACGTATCATGCCCATGTTCCAAAAACATATCACTTTCTCAGCCTGAACATACCTGTAATTAGTCTCTGTATTAAATCCTCCGCTTTAGCTCCTGTCTCTTCAAAACCTCTTCCTGAATAAGCCCAGTCAGCTGAGTGGCTGGTGAGTTTAAAAAGTGAAGCCAAAGTGGACATTTCTTAAACTGGCCCAGCACACGGCGACCACTGGATTGTATATGAAAAATTATAAACATGGGTTTGTGCTCTCAATTGCTAGTTTTAAGTCAATTTCAATACAGCATAAATTTCATTTAGTAAATTATGGTCACACCGAAACCCCGGAGGCCAATAACTGTAATGACTCACCATACAGATGCCAAAGGGCCCTGGTACACCTGTATCACATGTTAAGAGTCACTGACAAAGCATCATCAATCAATCAATCAATCGTCAATCTGTCATCAACAGAACAAACAATAACCAGAACTGTAAACACAATTAGCCAAGATACAGCAGGACCACTGACACAATTAAATACACCCGACTGGTAGAAAATGTTCGTGGTATCAGCACCAGCGAACACACCCCGATCGGCTGCTGGGTGAATTCATACTTCTTCACAAGATCTAAAAGTGCCACAATTTCTCCACAGTCCATCCACTTACTTTCCCACGGTCCTTTGTGTCAGCTAAGTGACGGCTGCTTCATATCTCCAGATCTCTCTCATCATCGCTGATTGACAGACTCCATTATATGCATGCAGCCAGGCCGTCTGCTGGCTCGGTAAATCCTCTCCAGTGCCATCGTGCTGATACACTTAGACGGCACAGATAGCTGTGATGAAAGGAAGTGATGTGTTGGCTCGGATGGCATCGTGTGATGACGTATAGAATCTCCATCGTGTGGTTGTGGATGGTGGGAGGTTATTTCTAATGGTGTGTACATCTCTCACTACACTCGCTTTGTCCTCAGAGCAAAACGTTTTACATGATCGACTTCTTAGCTGGCTAACCTGCACCAGGGTAGTTAAAAGTACCGTAGCAGTATAAGTGAACCCTGACCAATAAATATAGATCATAAAGCAGACATCTCTTGATGAAGTGGTGCGGCGCATATCTCTCCCTGGGGTCGCCTTGTGTGGAGGACCGGGGCAGTGAAGAACAGCTGTGCGGAGCTCTTCCCCCACCATAACCCTCCCACGAGGGAAGAGAGGTGGGAACCATCTGCAGGAGATGGAGCAAAATACCAAAACGTTATCAGCACAGAGAGATCTGTCTTATCCGGCTCAGGAGCTTTTGTTTCTGCTTCGCTCTCTTTGGTTCCAACGCTTATCTCGCTAACAGTATGTCTCCCCAACACCAGGGGGCGCCCCGGAGCGGCAGCCTGTGATCATGGCAAAGGGAGCGGATGTTTCAGTGACTGTGTCAACGGACTAACTTACCTACTCACACTTAGGCAATTTGATGTTAAAAGCTTTGAGGTAATCAATACTAAGTAATACGTGGTTTTATCTATTTATGAACAGAGGTTGGTGAATTAGTTCAAATGAATAAATGTATCATTGACGTCAACAGATGCCACATGCACATTTAAAATTGAAATTTCCATTCAAATTGACCTGGGGGGTTCGGGGTGACATTGTGTGTGTCCACCACCATGTTGCAACGACACCCACACTCTTGAATAACCGAGGGGGACAAAGGACTCGGATATGACCAGTTGGGCTCATCTACTAATAAGCCGCTAACCAGCACAGTAAGTGTGGTGCAGAGCGGACGAGACGAGCCGCTTTAAATCAAACAACAACACGAGGACGGCGTTGATGTGGGTTCCGGTGGGACGGCGGCCAGAGACGCCTCTAAAGGGGAGCATTCTGTCACCGCAGAGAGGAGCGCCTCGGTCTGTTTGCTCCGCCGCAAATCGGAGCAAACAGAACTCTTTAATGACACGAAGCAGATGTGCGTGAAAGGAGGAAGTGGCGCGTGGCAGAGGAGGCCTGTTTCCCAGCGCTCCGACGGTACGTTGACAGTCTGCTGAAAGAAGCGTTCAGGTGTGGTCCGAACACCACCAGGGTACTCTTACTATCTGTCATGCAACGGGTGGTGCTTCACTCGCTGGGGATGCAGTCAGCTGAGGATTGTGGTCGGTGGTTGTAGCTTGTGGGCTCACACAGTCGCAGTTCACAGCCTGAAACTTTCAACCAGAGCTCTTCCCCCCATTCATGCAGCCACCTCCAAATATTCCCGTAATACACCTTCTCAGGATTTGGCATCAACTTGAACGGCACTTTGGCTTTCAGCTAATCCTACCGCCTACATGAGCACGCACGCGGCTGCCTCTTCGCTCGGTGTTCTCCCGACCGGTGATGCCACGTGTTCTTGACACCTGGTGGAATTTACTGCATTCATTGCGAGGCGAAGGGTCCGTGCAGGGATTGGAAGACCTTTCGAATGGTCTTTTCGTCAGTCCCTTCTGGTTGCTTTATAGCTGTTACCAAATGATAGTATTTACATCTTCAATTCTATCAGTTCGGAAGCATTTCTGATGCGCGCCCATTCTGGTTGAGCCGTATCGTATTGTCCTTCTTGTGTAATGTGAATATAAGCGGTACTGCTGCATTTTACATCTGTTAAAAGGGACAGCGCGTATGATTTGAGGGGCATCTAGAAATGTGTTTTCAGATTGGAGCCAAGTGTTCCTAATCCTGCAAGGGGGCTTCCGGTTCCCACATCTCAAAGTCACGGGGTCTTTAATGAGACATCTGAAATAGGTATTGGCACTTTAGTCACTTTACTCTCCACCACTCTGAGAATGAAATAGCTTGTTGGAGACACACTCCATCCACCGTGACACACACACACACACACACACACACACACATCTCTATGTTGTAGGTACTGGTCTCTGGTCCTCCCGCAGTCACTACATGGAAAATTCCATTTCTTTTCTGTTTCCATAAGTGGCGTCATCACTCTTCTCTGAGGACCACCCATTCATTTATTATTCAAGATGACGGAGCTTTTAAAAGATTCCTGCTTAGTTCTGCTGGGACACTCACACGCTCTGCGCTCCCTCGCCAGCACGCCATGAAGTAACGCGCGCGCTTACTCGCATCCGTTCATTCAAAACCTCAAATACATTGAGATGGTAGAAAAATAGCAAAATTCTCCGTCACACACTACCACATGAATGGAGTTCTCTGACTAGAAGGTTATGCTCTTTATAAAGGGGGTGCAACACAGGGGAGACACGTCAATGTCGGATGATGCAATTATTTGTAAGCAGGTTTTGCATTTTGCTAAAGAAGTCTCCTGTTTGTTTTCCGCCCTCTAGTTGTCAGAAAAAAGGCTATGATTTACTTTTTATTTTCTTTAAAATTACTCAAATTGAGTTTTTCTTATGAGGGAGGGAGGGTTATTTGCCTCGTCATTAAAGAAAGGCTCGAGGAAAACGTTTTGTATCTCTGAGGAGGGTCAAGAAAAAAAATAAAGGAAGTTCCATCCTGCACCTCTGATGATAACGAACTCTGCCTAAGAATGCGATGAAGTCAGTTCACACACATTTTACACATATATAAGTGATGGTAAATTTCTTTATGTACACTTACATATTAGTTACCTCCATCACACTGTATATTATCCAAATCCCTGTCTGTGGTAATCTGCAGGACAAACTACATGATCTCATAAATTGCTGGTTGCCATGACAATGAACAAGAGATTAACAGCTCAACCTGAATCAGTCTGATAGAAGGCGTCGTTGGGGGATTACAAATAAATGAATGCAGTTGACAGAAGTCTTTCATCTGACTCTGGTTTCCTCCGTCGTCCCACTCACCCAACTGCTCTCAATGATTCCCTTTAGTGAGAATGGAACATCATGTGATCATATGACCCTGTGCCTGGAAGCCTTATTGCAACGTCGAACTCCACTGTGCACTGAGTTTAGAAAGTTTAGAAAACGACAACAGGAAGAAAGTGGGAGATGGTCATGTGTTTGGTCTGTACATGGGAATAAAGACGAGTCATGGGGTTTGAGACGGATTAAGAGGACGGGACGGACCCGGATACCGACGGACGCGAACCCACATACTCCAAAATGCTGGACTTCATGTCACTTGTTCTACATGTTACATGTTTATACTTTCCTTTTGTCAGAAACATTCCATCTCAAAATATTTTCCGGGTGACTGGGCTTTCAAAGATTCTTTCAAAATTTCAAAATAAAGTATACATCTAGTCCTCAGACCACTCAAAGTGCTACAACACTACACAACATTCACCCATCCCAACACCGATGGCAGGAGGTACCATGCGAGGTGCCACTTTCCATCCCGACTAACAAAGAATCCACTTCACACATGTGGTAAAAGGTCTTTCCCAAGGATGGAACCGCCGAGCTTCTGCTCACAACCTCTGAACCCCAGCTGCCCAAAGTGCAACCACGAAAGCACCTCGAGCATGCAGCCATAACTGGCCAGCAGAGTGTCTCCCTGACGGACCCACACGCGACCATCCCCATGGTCCCCTAATGAACTGGGACCGTCCCTAAAGGGTTCCCACATGGTTTTTGGGGTTAGCCGTTAACACCAACACGTCATGCAGCGAGTGACGCGGGGAGCAGCTGCCCTCAGCCCACAGTTGCTTCCATGGTGGTAATTACACAGACCGTACCACGTCATTGTGTAGCCATGGGTGGAGGAGAGGGAGGAGGGGATGGGACAGAGGAAAGAGGACATAAAAGTGAGCGAATAACAGGCAGGGAAGGAAGGAGCACCGAGGGAGGGAGCGGAGTGAGTGAGGGGAGGCAGGAGGACAGAGAGAGATGGTGAGAGAAGGAGGAATCTGACGTAACACTGTGTGTATGTGCAGGGGCGGGGCTTGTAAGTGATGAGGAGGGCGGGGGGGCAGCGTGTGTCCTTTTAATCTGCCTATTAAAAGTGTAGCAGGCAGCGCTTTATACTCTCCCGCTTTCTTTCTCTCTTTCTGAGCATCTCCCTTTCCTTCTTCCTCCTCTTCTGCTCATCTCACATCACCTTCTTCTCTCCATCATCCATGTCTGTCGGCCTCTCTTCTGTCTCCGCCACTCTGCCCGTGGGTCTGTTTGCCACTTGCTGTGGTAGCATCAGGGCTGGGACATCAGCAGGGGTCTCTGTCTGTCTTACTCTGGATGGTGGACATGAAATCTAGCAGGACTCCCAACAAGTCAGCAGTGGTTGCATGCCAGCCCAACAACGTGAGTGGGATATCCCTTCTGTGTGTGTGTGTGTGTGTGTGTGCAGGCATGTTGTGATATTAGTTTATTATTGTGCTGTGTGCAAACGGCAGGGGGCAGATAGTTGAAACAGCCCGGCCATTTACAACTTGTAATAAACTTCCTGAAGCTGGACATCACAGAGGAACTGGGCACACAGATAATAAAACGTGTGTGTGTGTGTGTGTGTGTGTGTGTGTGTGTGTGTGTGTGTGTGTGTGTGTGTGTGTGTGTGTGTGTGTGTGTGTGCGCGTGCGAGAGAGAGAGACGGTGGGACAGTGTGTGTGGGACAGTCTTACATAACCTCAGAGTAAACTCGAGTGTTAATGAATAATTCAAAAGAAGGTTTTTCCTCTTTTAGATTCTCAGGCTTAAAGGGACAGTTTGCGAGTTTGGTTCCTACTTTTGGATGTTGTCTCACGCGCACACTTTAGCTCCTCGATACGCGCACACACCATGTTATCGGGATAAGGCAACAAAATATGGTACACATGGGCCGTAAAAATTCAAAAGGACTTTGATAAATTGCATGATCATCTTAATAGAACCGTTTGCCTTATTTGTGATGAAGAAGACTTGATGATGAATTATGTTTTTCATTTGAGGAATCTTTTTTTTCCTGCCCACAATTTTGGGTCATTCATGATTTAAATGATACGGGACAGAATAAATGTTTTCCATTCATTATATTTCAACTGTTTCAACCATTCTTCTGACTTTCCTTTCAGGGTTTATTCAGGAAATTGAGCCTGGTACGATCAAACATCCTGATCTATGTGTACTGACGTGTGTATTGCATTGCGCTGGATTGTTACTCACGAACCAACGCTGTTTCTCTGCTTCCACACACAACAGTGTTTAACAGACAAATATCCCAAAGATGAATAACAGGCTGGAGAAGGGATCTTTCATGAGTCCCCTTCATGCTTTGGGCCGGCCGCTCCTTCTTCTATTATGCATTAGCAACAATAAGAGTGAGGATCTTTTGCTTCAGCTGCTGCAGATTTAGGATCCAAGGCTGCAAAGAGCAGCGAGCTGTGATTGGACTGCTAGTTTGATAACAGACTATCAAATTAAAATCCTCTTAATGTCAAACTCTTCAAATGGGGTATTTAAGAATCCATCCCTTTTTCATTCAGATGGAGTGGTTCGATGGCAGCTGTTTTTGGCAATCAATTGATTTATTTCATGCTCCAGCTGAGGATGTACAGCTTGATCAATAGGCAAAGGAGCCGAAATAAAAGGGTTGAGATAGACATCCATGTAAACTATAAACTGGACCAAAAGAACATTCCGCCAATATATCCACCATCAGCCTCGTATCAGGGACAGAAACAGAAAATGGTCTATGCCTCAAAGCTGAAAGCAAATAATGATCTAAAGGGGCTTTTTTACTGCAGCTTCTACCAATACAACCAATACAACAGCTAAAGCCCTAAATGTCCCCGTTATGTAGACCCCCCAGTGTACATCTTAACAAACTGTACAACATGAAAGTGTTTGTTGTCCTGGACTTTGCACACGTTGCACAAGCCTTCCTATGGCTTCTTCTCCTCTTCTGCATCTCAGAGAGGCGTCTTCTTTACCAATAGTCACGTGTGTCTGTGCCACCAGGGGCAGCAGCAGGCCCAAACCAGCAGCCCAGAAGCCCTGGACCCCTGCGACGAGGTCACAGACACAGATGACAACGAGGAGGAAGACCTGGGAGTTCTGGATGACCAGAGGAGCATCATGCTTCACCTCCTGTCCCAGCTGAAACTTGGCATGGACCTCACTCGGGTAAGTGCAAGGTCTTTGCCATCATCTTTTTGAAAGGGTGTGAAAAGAGAAAGCTCCTGTCCAGGTTTTCTCGCAGCGACCCTCCTCAGCTGCGCCACGTGGCGTCACGATACGACCCACCTCCGTTTCTTCTTAATCACACTGGAAAGTCGGTTCCCAGTGCTGAGCGCCGAGGTCCAGGTCGGGGGGGGGGCTTAGGGTCAAAGCCACAAGCCGCCTTGACCAAGCCAACAGGGAGCGGCCAAAGAGTTGGGAGTGTCTGTATGTGGGGCACAAGGACGATACTGTTGTTTTTATTTCTGGTCTTTCTTTAAAACTTGGCTTCTTCTTTAATTTCTTCGAGCGCTCCCCTCTCTTCTGTGGTGTTAAGTCATAGTCATCAGACGTCCTCTGGCCACGTGATTGTGATGAGTCTCAGACCTGATTACTGCCGGACCAGTGCTTTGGTTTGCAAGGATTGTGTGCTGGCGATGTGCACAGCGGGAGATTCAGTCCTTGAATACCTGAGAGAAGGGGGGATCCATCAGCAGATTACGAAAGAACCATTTGTTCTTGCCACGTCCATATTGACTGGTGGTGATGCAGTGTGACAGGAATCGACGCTTCAACTGTGGCTCGATCGAAAGGCCCCATTTGACTGTGAGCTCAGGGATTGACTTTATGTAATCTAAAGGCCAAGGGAAAATTACAAAGTACAATTCAGCCCGTCACACGACATGACACCATACTTTACCATTGAAGCTGTTAGTGGACCAGAGTTCATGTGCCAGAGATGGGAAAGGACAGTTCTCGCTTTCGCATTATTGATTTTATTCCTGCCTAAAATACACATAGAGCAGTCAAGCAGCCCTCTGTGTCAGGGATGCGGGGAAGGCAGGACTCACACGCAGACGTCGAGTAACAAAAGAAGAGGCCAAGGGGCAAAAACGCACACAGGAACCAGAGCAAAAACACAGGCAGGAACCAAGAAACATCCAGGACAAACGACAATGACGCAACAAGTGACACACTGCTTAAATACACTAGGGAGGTGCAGGTGATTGGACACAGGTGGAAACGATCAGACAATCACAGGGGATGACAGGACAAGGCAGGAAGTGAAGTTACCCGGGGAGACAAGAAGCAGAAAACTACAAAATAAGACAGGAAATAATCCACGCCGTGACACTGTGTAAGTTACCATGATATGACTATTTATGGTAAAAAGTAAAACTTGCGTCGGCACAATGATCACACAGCAGATAATACACGTACATCCCTGTCTATCCCTCTCTCAGGTGGTGCTCCCTACTTTCATCCTGGAGAAGCGCTCCCTGTTGGAGATGTACGCCAACTTCATGGCCCACCCAGACATGTTCCTTTCCATCACCTCCGGCTGCACGCCAGAGGAGCGCATAGTCCGCTTTGTGGAGTACTACCTGACCGCCTTCCACGAGGGCCGGAAGGGCGCCGTGGCCAAGAAGCCCTACAACCCCATCCTGGGTGAGAACTTCCACTGTTCCTGGTACGTGCCTCGGGACCGCGTTCGACCTCTCAGGACCGCCAACTTCACCGCGCCCAACTCGGCGCCCACAGCCACCTGCACCATTCCCGGGTCCCCGCAGAGGGGGGCCGACGGCAGCCGCAGGGCAAACGCAGATTGCTACTGTGTTCGTTTCGTGGCGGAGCAGGTGTCCCACCACCCACCTGTGTCGGGCTTCTACTGCGAGTGCAAGGAGAAGAGGATGTGTGTCAACACTCATGTGTGGACCAAGAGCAAGTTCCTGGGCATGTCTGTCGGAGTGTCGATGGTGGGGGAAGGTGAGAGAACGTGCAGCATTTCCTAAAAGAAAGCGTGTGAGAATTACTAAGAATTTCACTTCCATCTATCAGGTCTAACTGGTCGATAACATCCTGACCATGAAACGTTGTACATGCGCGGGTCTCGTCCAGCGTTTGTAGCTTTTGCTACAAATAATAGAATGTTACCAAACTACAATGTTTTTTGTGGCCTAAACGTAAATAAGTTGTTTAATAAGGAGTAACTTTTCTTAAGATATGATGCTAATCCATGTAGACCGTATTTATACCATCACAGTCAGTTATTCTAACCCAATGAGATGAAGTAAAGTCAGTTCACTAATTAATTAAACCCCAAAACACCATTGTGTTACACAATAAAGGCTTGTGCACATGCACTAATTTCACTCGGGTCCGACAAGAAATGTTATTAATGTTGGATGAAATAAATAAATTGCAAGAACCAGTAGACATATTTGGATCACTATTTTAAAAAATCTGTGGGTTTTTGAGTAGCATTAACAAGAAAACAAAAAATGTCAGAGCAGTGTTTTGTCCAATTGAATAAATGGTTAATCATGACCACAATCTGACATCCACAGCTGTTTGCACAGTGTACAAGAGCCTCCTTCAGCTGATTAAATCCCCAAAGCCCCCGAATGCGCGCTCCATCTGCAGCCTCTAATTGGAAAACCGCTTCAGCAAAACAGAGCGCTATCGTGCACGTTTGCACTTTGTCTTCACCTTGATAACATCTCACGCAGCCGACGCCGGCTCAACCCGACAGACACGGGACACCAATGCATCCGACACACTGACTCCTCATGTTTATGTGCAGGGAGCTTCAGTGCGGATGTTTTGAGTTCAGAGTGTCTCATCCTCCTTACATCACTTTCTCCGCGGCACTGTTTTTTTAGAATAACAATAACATTTACCTTTTGGCGGCAGTAACATATGAGCGTGAGGTTTCCGTAGCGCCGGGCCAGTGAGAGCTAGCTGTAATCAGGCCGGCAGTAGACATTCATTCCTCCAACACTCCTGGTTATCATGACATTCGGACATGTGGATGCAGATGCACAAATGTTAAATACTTGCTGGTGATGGCCGGAGGCAGGTCGATGCTTCTCCCTCTGCCACTACTGCTTTAGTAACCCGATCAAATGGGAAAGGTGTTCATGCCCAGGTAGCCGTGTGGTGGTAGTGAACATACCCATAATTCCTTATCTAACACCTTTGAATGTGTTGTGATGAACCGATTGGTGGAAGGTTGGCGGAGCATATCAGCTCGCATGTATTTACTGTGTCCTGATTATGGGAGAATAGTGTGTCGTGTTCCACGCTGCCTGTATGCATAAAACCAAATCAAAGAATCCATTATTATTGATAATTGAATTAAACTTAATGTTAAAGCCCTGAACTTAGAATGCAGGTCGACGTGGTCTCTTCCCCTCTGCGTGTAACACTTTTCGCCCCTTTTTGAACGGTGAACAAGCCCTTCGACACAAGTGTCACACCAGGACAACGTGTATGAGCTTAACGGTTTCCTTTCCTTTCATTCGTGACATATTACCCAGCATTCATCTGCGAGCTCCTTGTGTATCAGAGGCGAGAGGAGGACCGACTGACTGCAGCACGTTGGTCTTTGTTTCACAGATGTGCAAATACACACATGGATGGATGCACACAATCAAGTGAAAATGTCCAGCGGGGGGAAATTACACACTGGAGGAAATAAGGACATTGTGTGTGTGTGTGTGTGTGTTTCTTGCTAGTGGGTGTTTCAGATGAAGAAGCGTGTGTCCATATATGTGTGTGTGTCAAACAGATGTGTATGTGTCAGACCTGGGCCTATGGCGGCAGAGCGGGAACAGGCCAGCTGTCTGTTATATAAGCAGCGGGGAGGGAGGACGGGACGGGAGCTCACGCAGGAAGCCTCAATCAGAGCCGAAGCCGGATTCCGGGTCACGCCATTGTTTTCGCTCCATTGGTGTTGACTTTTGCGAAATCCACGTAAGATAGAAACAGGAGTTAAGGAGGGTGAGTCCAACTCACAACACGGATCACAGTCAGTAGGGCCCTCCAGGGGCCGTGAATGTCTGTATGAGACGTCAAGGACATCCATCCACTGGATGTTACGTTATTTTAATCTGGACAAAGTGTAGCGATGCCGAAATAATTCTGCAGCCAGAGCGACATGGTGGCTTTTACGTCTTAATTTATGTTTGAGGCGATAATGAGAGTCCACTTACACTGTATACTCTAACTTGTGTCCACAGGACGATGAACACAGTAAATCCACACCAGTGCTACATTTATCACGAGGGAATATGACACAAAGCCCCCACTTCAGCTGTAAATAGCGTCATCTAGTCTCTCTTCTAAACTGGCTGCATTTGAGAGTAATAACTGGTGTGATGTGTGGGTGCAGTGTGAGGAACTGTGCGCTGCGCTGGGTTCTGCTGCGCTGGGTTCTGCTGCGCTGGGTTCTGCTGCTCTGGGTTCTGCTGCGCTGGGTTCTGCTGCGCTGGGTTCTGCTGCTCTGGGTTCTGCTGCGCTGGGTTCTGCTGCTCTGGGTTCTGCTGCGCTGGGTTCTGCTGCGCCAGGCGGCGACCAAAATGACACGCTGAAGGGCAGTTTTAGTTTATTTATGTTACTAAATTGACTTACTCTAAATGTTTGTATGAGTGTAACTTCTCACTGTAGCTTACTGAGTTTGGGTATTTGCAATTTATGCTTCAACGTCACTACATTTCAATGGATGAGTGTTTTTTTTTACTCCACTTCAAATATGTAAATGCTATGCTTTGTCTTTGTAGATTCACGTGGTGTCTGAACGTCTTTTGTATTAATCCCAACAGTAATTCTACCAAAACAAGAGTAAAAGCCAACGCTTGATCAGCGTTCGCAGGGGTCTGACTTACTGAGGCACTTTTTAGCGTCTGTATGAGAAACGCCACGCTTTCCACTGCAAGGTTTACCCGCTCAAGTTCCACGTGATGAGCAGATCTTTGGCGCCAATGCTGATTTATTTCATTAGAGTTTAGTTGCGTCAACTTTAAACTACGGTCAGTTACATAGCAAACATGTCATTGTGCATCACACACATACTTATTTGAACCCACATCACAATCTTTTAATCTAGTTTAAGATTACCACAAAGAATAAATCGAGAGCTACGTAGTTTGGCCTCCTGTCCACTGTCTCTTAAATGTGTCCTGCATCTCCCAAGGTGTGCTGTATCTGCTGGAGCACGATGAGGAGTACGTGTTCACTCTGCCCTGTGCCTACGCCCGCTCCATCCTGACGGTGCCGTGGGTGGAACTCGGGGGAAAGGTCACTATCAACTGTGCCAAAAGCGGGTACTCTGCCACCGTCACTTTCCACACCAAACCGTTCTACGGAGGAAAAGTCCACAGGTAGGCCGCAAGACAACGTGCCCGAACAAACCCCTCTTTGTGCCAAGGAAGCCACGGCAATCATCTTCTCTCGTCCCACCTCGGCACACACACATTGACAAGAAATGACAGCTTAGCACCGGGATGCGCTACGGACAACCAGAGGCTTGGTGACCACAGTCAGCTCTCCAACAATAGTTTTTCTCGTATTTCATGGTGCATTTGCTTTGAGGAATTCTTTGCATTTGCAGCCGTTTTCATGCCTACACGCTGGAAAAAGCCGCCTTTCATCAGCTTTGTCCCAAACATCCACCTGAGGTCAAGGTGGAACTGGTTGGAATTTGATGAACTTTTAGGGCCCTAAATGTGTTAGACACACACACAGGGACGCGCTTTCCTTAGGTTATCCGTGCATTTGATCATATGCAGGCAAATTGAGTTATGGATGCTACAGAGGATGGAGGACATGAGGCAGCCCCCCCTTTGATGCTGCTCATGTGATTACCCCCCGCGCAGCGACATATCCATTTCCTCTGCTGCTCCAATTTGCTAAATCAGCCATTTAAATAGCAACGCCCGGTGTTCAGGCGCACCTCGCTTTAATAACTTGTATTAGTCATCGAGGGTGAGTCTTAATTTCCCTCTGCAGGCACAATAAATACAATACCAAGACGGTAGCTTACGATGACCAAACACCTGCGAACGTATTTTGCAGATGCTTGGAATATGCTGGATGTGATAAGAGAAAATACAGGTGGCAACTCGTACACAACATGGCTGGTGATACCAGTGGGATGTTGCACAGCGCCACACGGCTGTGTTCGGGTGCTGAAGAACGCTTTGTTGATTTCTTACAGAGTGACAGCAGAGGTGAAGCACAACCAGACAGGAAACGTCGTGTGCAAGGCGCAGGGGGAGTGGAACGGCGTGCTGGAGTTCACCTACAGCAACGGGGAAACCAAGGCCATCGATACCTCCAAGCAGCCGATCATCAAGAAGAAGATCCTCCCTCCGGAGAAGCAGGGCCCGTACGAGTCACGGTGAGTCCGCTCTTCATGTGGTTCACGTGAAAAGGAAAGAAGACGCTGTCCGTGTTGTTAGTGAGCCTTGGCCAGATCAGTGTCTCTCAAACCAAACTGTGGGGCGGGGCCCTCTAGTGGGTCGCAGTGGTGTTACAGGCGTGTCAAATGGGGAAATTCTGAATTATTTTATTCTAAAAACTATTTTGAAAGCTTCCCATATTAAAAAAGGGACAAACACTGTATGTTGCTATTCAAGTATTTAAATGGAACCACGGATTCGTCCTAATATATATATATATATTTTTGTTTTTTGTTTTTCATTGATTTGAATCTACTAACTGCCCCTTTAACTGTAAGGTTTATCAGCTTTTAGCAGATTTCTTTACGTCTACTGCCAAATCGTTAAGTTGCTCACGGCCAAACAACCTCTTATGAGCAGACACAATATGTGTATGGAACAGTGCACATGTAAGTCATGTCTTCCACTCGCATGCCAGACGTACTGCTGTTAATCTGTGTTTCCCTTTTCTGCAGGCGTCTCTGGCAGCACGTCACAGCGTCCCTGAAGTCGGGGAATATGGACGCAGCCACAGAACACAAACACCGCCTGGAAGAGAGGCAGCGCAAGGAGGGCAAACAGAGAGCTGCCACCAAAACCCCCTGGAAACCCAAATATTTCATTAAAGAGGTGAGCAGTCTGCACACCAGCGACATCACTAGAATTACTTTGACATTACATTACATTAAGCTGATGCTATGCTACACTGAGACACGGCTCCTGTTCTTGTTATTACGATTTGAACTAACCCTCTAACCCTTTAACGCTTTCAATATCCTTATTTTTCTATATATAATATCCACTGCTGCTATTATTAGTTGTTGTGGTTTTGCCATCATTTTTGTGCTATTATGTTACTATTATATGAGTCGTTTATGTATTTTGCTTTGAATATCTGTACACATGACATAGTATTCCACTTCTGTTCATCCTGGAAAGGATATTTCATTACTCAATTAAGCTGTTAGATAGCAAGCCGTTTGCACGGGTTAGACACAAAACACAAAAACATGGTGGAAACACACTGAAGTCCCCCTTTAAGTTGGCTTGATGTGTGTCTGTGTGTGTGTGTGTGTGTGTGTAGGGCGAAGGCTGGGTGTACCACAACCCTCTGTGGAAAGCTCACTGACCAGAGGCCTCGGGAGCAGCTGTCCAATCCCAGACCACAGGAGCGGAGCGATGGAGGCCGAGCGCTGGCCGACAAAAGTCTCGAGGAGGGAGAGAGAACAGAACAAGTGGTACCAAAGACAGGGGGGGGGGGGGGACACTCTTCCAGTCCTGTCCGATCGGAGACATGTTGGCTCAACGGTGAGGTGAGACCGGTCCTACGCGGGTACTACAGCCACTTCTGAGATTACAGTATTACAGACGGGACGGACTCAACGAGTCATTTCTTTCTAAAACTCAGTTTTTAGTCGTTTGCACAAAGTACTAATCAACGTTGTCGGTCACAACAGTTTTGCACAATTCACTGTACAATATAGCCAGTGTGTGTGTTTTCATGTTCATGTTTGTAACGGATGGATGAAATATTGACCCTCTTTGTACGAAGCAGCAGGACCGAATGTTGTCAGACTAGTTCTTTTTTTTTAGTTGTAGCTGCAGCGCACTGATCTTCTCTGTACTGGAACTCATTTCAACTTTAAAAGACCGAGCTTTTTTAGGGAGGATTGTTTCACTAAGGAAAGCCTCAATCCTATAGAATATTTCACTGTCATAACATCTAATGAAAACGCTCCAGTCAACCGTCCCCATGGGCTGCAGAAGAAGAGCTCCATTACATACGAGCTGGATGTCCCACTGGAACATTTACTATGCTGCAGTTTGGACAATGTTTTAGCTTTAGTGGGTCACTTCACCTGGTTTAGTGTAAAAAAAAGAAAGAAGAGGAAAGTTGTTCATATCCGTCTAGTGGCGTCTCTCCATTCAGGAACCTGTGGTTTCAATGGTCCATGTCAGATGACACGCTAATAGCATTTTACATGTTATTCATTTCATGTATTTATTGGATGTGGGAGATCATAATCAAGATATATGACAAGCTTGCTCGTGTAATGAGCCAATGCAGTTTTAAAGCCAAATGAAACAATAAAGTGTAGTCGTACAAAGTTATCTTTTCTGCGTTAGCTGTGAGTTGAGCTGTGACGTTTCCCTGCTCAGTCTGCTGGCTTAGAGGTCTGTGCTGTAGATGGAGGACTACAGGGTTGGTTAAAGTTGCTACAAGGATTTTTTTTTACCCGGTTATGAAACAGTCTCAGTGTGAAGCTGATTATAAGCAAACAAGAGCAGAAACTCTTCCAGCTCCGTATCCAGCGGGAGGTGGAGAGCTCGGACCAGGACCACCGCTGCACCCTCTAGGTGGGGGTCGGCCACAGTGCAGGTGGCGCTCGGGAGGAACTTGCTCGTTGGTGCAGGACGACCGATTCATCGAGTTCCGTGGGAAGAAGAGAACCAGAACCGGAAACCGACTGTCTGCAGTAAAATGAATAGTTTTCCAAAAGGACTCTGGTAGCTGCTGCTTGGAACCACATACAGCTGTGGTACTCACTGAAACACCTGGTCCACCTGGTCCGCAAGAACCAAACCTATCGAAGGCTCCTTGTAGTAACTTTAAGTAGTAAACTCCATCACCTCAAAGATCATCCAATAATATATCTGCTTTCATATAACAGCTTTTCCCACATACTGTTCTTCAAACAGCTGTATTTGTATTTGTAACTAATAGGTGCCATCGTGCACTCTGTAGACACATCTGTAGACACATCTGTAGCGAGGATCAGGATCGGAATGGGAGCACCAAGACCACGATGGATTATTACAGTACTTTGAGGTCCAGTCTCGTGTGTCCCAGGATGCCAGGTAGTTGACTCAATGCTAAAACAAGCAGTGCTACTGTATGTGTGATCATCTGCAGCATCTCAGCTCCAAACTATTCCTCCCTATTTTTAGTCTTTGATAGAAGCAGCGTTAAATATTCCATTGGAGTATAAAGACATAGTGGGAATATTCCCGGGGGGGAAATAGCGCTGTGACATCGACAAATAGACACCTCGTCCTCCATCTGACAGTGGAAACAAACAAACCTATGCAACACGTCACTGTAGACAGCAGACTCAACAATCGCTGTATTTGTTTTTAAATAAAGGTCTCTGATCACATTTCTCCTCCCCTGAATGTTGGGGTTCTTCTCTTCTTCAGTGTTTTGGTTCATCACATAATGCACTTACAAAGACAAAGGTACATTCATTTGCAGTGTTTAAATTGGAGCAATTGTACAATATTAACTAAATACAACATGTAAATAAACTGAACAATTAGATTATCTGTATATGTAACATGAGAAAATATTTACTTTCACTTTCCCTAGATTATCTCAAGTCTCACAGGTCGAAGTAGCTTGGATTATTATTATAAGTGACTGATGGAAACCAAGCTGCTTCTAGAGTTAATGTTACCTATCATAGTAGTTTGGTAGTTCAAGCCATGAGAAATACATTTTAGATTGATTTGATGTCAAATCTGAAGCCCTAAAGTGAATCTTATGTACAGTATGTAGAGTAGAAATATTGTGGAGTACACGTTTTAATCACATCCAGTATTATTCACAAAAAACCGACTTGAATAGATGTATTTACTTTTATAGATAAATACAATATTATAAAAGGTCCACAGCATGGCGATGCCACTTCACGTGTGCGTGCAGTTGAACACGTGGAACATCTTCACCTCTACAACTCTGGAAGCAGAGAAAGAGACACAACTGCCTCCCTGTGGAAACTACTAGTTTGTGCACGCTGCCACCTGGCGGGCAACGTGAGACAGGGACAAGAAAACACTGGAAAGGTTAAAAAACAAAACGTATTTGCAAATAAATATGTATATTCATATTGTGTGTATGTATATTCAAAATAAACAAACAGTTATTTAACCTCAGAGAAAAGGTATGGGATTCTCAATCCCTACAAACATCCACCATTTACGAACTATATTAAGGTTCAAAGTAAAAAATAAGTCAATCAAGAGCAGCGACCTTGATAGGAAATTATAATATGATCAACAGTCTTAGATATCCTAAATATATAAAATCAAAAGAATGTCATGAATTATAAGTTTACAGCATCCAATCTGCTTGTTACTGAAAGCAGATATTCCTGATGTTACTCTCCACCTGAAGGCAATGTACGTATTCTCAATATGCATTCATTATACACCAGAGCACGCGGGCTTTTAAACACAAAGTTCTCATACAGGTTGAGATTTTCCACTGATGTCTTTTTAAAAGAAAATTACTTTTATTCAAAGTAACATGTGAATGTGTGTTGACACCACTCAGGTCCTCACAGCAACTCTGGTTATTCCCACTGCAATCATTCCCAATTTAGTTTACTGCAGTTTATAAGATTAAAAAGTCTAAGAAATAAACAGAAATTTAACAAGAAACAAACACCATTTCAATTTCCATCTCATTATTTATATCTCAGGCAAAACAACGACACCTTGTGTCAGGTTTCTATTCTTTTGGGCCTCCCAGTGATCAAATGAATGTATAAGCTCCCCATAATCAACACTGCTTTTGGACATCGCAGCGTCGCAGTTAAAGGTGAGTAAATTATATATTCAAAATAGGGACGCAACGTGCTGTGTTGATAAAAGTCGTGGTGTGGTTTGCTGAAAAAAGTAATACAAAAGTTACTGCTTATTCTGGCAAATTTCAGTGCATTCTATTTAAATGCAACTTTATTGCTCAACTGGGAACATCGTGTCCATAAAACACGGCCTTGACTTCTTAGCTCCAACTGAAAAGGGAGCGCGCCTGCAAAGGAGAAGGGGGAGACTTTGTTGAACTGCAGTAACGAGCAGTTCAGTTTGTGTGAAGCGCGTCGACTCTGCAAAAACTTTGACTTGTTGTTTGACCTCCGAACCATCAGCGGGGGGAGAGCTCTGGATTCTAAAGGCCCCTAAAGGACGAGGGTTTTCTCGATGAGATCCATTTTAAAGCAAAAAGTTTAAGAAGTAATAGCATTGAACAACAACAAAAATGAATACAACAGTATGTTGAAAAAGAAATACTACACTATTTTTTGAAAAGACAAAACAAAAAAACTTACAACACAAAATGGTGAAAACAGTCATTCAAAAGTACTCTGAGCTGTATTTACCAAATTGTTACGAAATTCCTATTACTGTTTAAAAATAAAGTAAAAGTCACAGTTCACTATGTTAAAAGAAAAGTTTAGCAAAAATGGTTCTGTATGTAATCTTTTAATATATCTCTTTGGTTATTTAAACCACTTATTTCAGCTTTTCCAAGATATTACCACATTGTGTGTGCGTGTGTGTGTGTGTGTGTGCGGCTCAGGCCGGTCGGCTCCACGCATGAATCAGGCCATTGTGAGGGACAATAGCGCTCCATAGCAGCGCGGGGGATTACCGTTAGAATGGCGTGCGAGCGCTGGAAGGGCCGCTGCTTCGTTTCTGTTTCCTCAACCCGTCGCTCCAGCAAACACTCGCCTCTGTGTCGCCTCCCTCCGACTGCTCACATCCCGCTCACCCACCAGCACCTCCTCCCTGCCTGAAGCCGGTGGCCACATGGAGAACCACCTCACCTTCCTGCGCTTTGCGTCCGGCAGCAACCTGCTGCAGGAGCGGCTCCGGCTCAGGAACCCGTCTGCTAAGGTCCACTGCGCGGCCCGGCTGAAGGTCCACACTTAAGATTTGTTCTCCCCTCCAGGACCATAGGTTGGTTTTTGGGAACCATAAAGGCCTCGCCAGCGAGCGGTGGCACGGGGTGTGGCCACCGTAGAGCGCAGCCCCGGGCAGGAGGTGTGGGGTCTGGTGTGGAGGATGAGCACGTCTGACCTGGAGTCTCTGGACAGGTAAAGTTTTCACCCATCAATTGCGTTAATGCCCCCCCCCCCCATCTGTGATCTTCCTCCGACCTCTGACCTCTACCGCGGGTGTGTGTGTTCTCAGCCTCTTCTGGAGAGAGTAATCATTGCTGTGATATCAGATGATGAATGTTATTCTTCTCTCAAAAGCCCAAACAACAACATCTTCAAGTACCTCCTGCATTCTCCAGTCGATCAGTGGTGAATCACGACCCGGGAGACGGATGTCAAAGTCACAGCTGGGTTTTATTCGTGGACGGGGTCGAGGATAGGTCCAGCAGTACACACAAAGTGGTGGAAGGCAAAGATCCAAAAGGGTCAGGCAGGAAGGAACGTGTCCCCCAGAGGAACCGAAGCGCTCGTTGATGTGTTTCAGCAGTTGAGCGCTATCACACAGGAATAGATATATGAGACTCACAGGCTGCCCTGCAATAAATGACTCCTTTGTTAACATTAAAAAAACAATACAATTAGTTGATACATGATTAATTAAAGACTTGGACAACATCAGCATGCACGTCTGTATGAAACTAATAGTAATAATACCAAAGAAACTAATAATTGACTAATAAGGGAATCTCACTGTGTGACTTTCCTGTGTGATGCCATATTGGGAGTCATGACAGGGTCTTTTTGCCTGTGTGAACGTGGTTGTTTTAATGGTATTATTATTTCTCTCTGTGAAGCATCTGGAATAGGAATCGGTCTGTTTACAGCACTCGTCATCTGACCAGCGGGTCCCAGCAGCCCGGACACACCTGCTCTCGTTTAACAGAGCCGCCGGCCAGTACCAGACTGTTCTTTGCACACGTGAGAGCTCCAAACATGAGGGAAAGGCAGCGTGCGCAGAGGGACATCGTCGCTTTGTTGTCACAGCTTTGTCTTCTACAGAGTCAACTGTGCTGATCCCCTGTTATGCTAGCAGTTCTTTGGATACAGCTCACATACGGGACAATACTCTGTTTAGTACAGTGCAGAGGTGGAAAGACTTCTCTGATATAGCTTAGTGGATAATCCCGATATGGCCAAGAAATCATCTTTATTTATGTATGCATTGTAGGTGGTGAGTAATTAATGTGCCTTTAATACACTGTGTAATCAAATATAGCCTGGAGAACATTTGGGGTCCTTCAATTTGCAAACTCTATACAGCTGAAGTTCAAGCCATCCATGGTGATGTTGGAGGGCATTTGCGGATTTGTGGCTGTTATTGGTTGTGAAAAAATATATCTGTGACTTTAATGATGCACAGTAAATGCGTTGGACTACTTCAACCGCTGCAGGTGACCATGACGGGGGGGGGGGCAGAACGGCTTGCCAACGGACTACCAGAAGAAGCTGAGAGCTATCAAGACCAACGCGTTTGAGGCTCCTCTACCCGTGATGGCTGAACTGAGCAAACCAGCGCGAGAGGCAGAGCCAACCGGCGCTCCGATGCCTGACAGCAGCATCCGGGCCGCACTGCATTCAACCTCCTACTGCATCACGTTCAGCCCAGCCAGCTGCCGAATGCATCGATGGGTCTGTGGTCTGACTACAGTTGCCTGTACAGATGAATGTAATTGTCACATTGTCGTAGTTCACCATAAGGAACAATAATACAGATTGTTCTATTCTTGGCTTCACCATTGTGTCTTTATCTTTTTGAGGTGGAAATATATTCCAATGCTTGTTTATTGCTTGTAACAACACTTTGAGTAAAACAGTTACAGTATCATCGCGTAGTGATTTGCTGTCTTCCGTCTCACTGAACCGATCTACAACAAAGGGACAACATGATAAAAAGACGTTCAGCTCAGCACTGAATACAACACACTTTGTTGATGGTAGCTTCTTTCATATTTTTGTTTGAAACAGTCAATGCTTTACTTTATTACCTGCAAGCATCCGTTCTCACCTTTGACCTTTTCAATATCCAAGAACGATGTTTGCTCTCCATGGTGAAAAAGAACAAAACTCGAGCTATTCGATGAGAACAAGAACAACCGGTACCCGTTATTATTTATTTATTATTTAGAGACCCGGTGTTATTTACTAATATTCCCCTGAAGCAGCAGACCGGCTTCAGGGGCCAGAACAACTAGTACTCCTCTACGTGTGGAAGACAAACAGTGGTTCTGAAGTTTGGGAATGAGGTCGAGGAGGAGTGCAAAAGGTCGGCCTTCAAACAGAGTGATCACTGCAGTAATGTGTCACATTATTTGGGTGTTTATCCCCAGCTGACACGCTCCACAAGGATGATGATTTAAAAGACCGCTGAAGCAGTTCTAGTTCATGAAAACAGCATCGGCCTCCTTGAGCGTTGGGCCTTTTAAACCCCCCCACTCCCCGCCAGCCAGACTGCTCTAAAGCAACCCTCTCCACAAGACCTCTCTTACCCGCACACAATGTGCTTTCCTGGCCTCCCCGCCACCCAAGCAGAGCTGTGACGCATCCCACACAAACAATCAAAGCATCTGAGACAGAGGGGTCGAGACAGAGGGGTGTATCTGGGGCAGAGGGGTGTCCTGTCTGTGGGGGACCAGGCAAAACAGATTCTTCTCTGCCGTGCAGCTGCAGCTGGCGTTCGCAGCATCACGTGGTGCAGAGCAGAAGGCTCAGCGCTGGACGCTCCAGCCGGTTTCCTGTCTCCCACGGACCCGGACCCACGAGGTAGTCGGCTGCAAGTGCACTATTCACAATTTCATTGTAATCATTTCAAAAGCAGCCATGAGAGCAAGACAAAGGTTAACCGCGCCCTCATGTGTACCCAACATGTACCCAACAGGTACCCAACATGTACCCAACCGGTACCCAACATGTACCCAACATGTACCCAACAGGTACCCAACATGTACCCAACATGTACCCAACAGGTACCCAACAGGTACCCAACAGGTACCCAACATGTACCCAACATGTACCCAACCGGTACCCAACATGTACCCAACATGTACCCAACATGTACCCAACAGGTACCCAACATGTACCCAACATGTACCCAACAGGTACCCAACATGTACCCAACATGTACCCAACATGTACCCAACATGTACCCAACAGGTACCCAACATGTACCCAACAGGTACCCAACATGTACCCAACATGTACATGTACCCAACAGGTACCCAACATGTACCCAACATGTACCCAACAGGTACCCAACATGTACCCAACATGTACCCTGTATCCTGGACTCTTCTGGAGCTTTAGTAGTGTGTGGCCTGAGGGATTAACACAATACTGTACGGCAGCGTGTCGCAATCAAGTGGGGGAAGTACGTCAGCACAAGAATGGGAGAGAAACTAATGGAGCTTGTCAGTGCAGCTGCTTTTTTGATCTTGACATCAAAAACGCATTAACCCCCTCTAGTGTTGCCAGGATTAGTCTTGTTTATAACGTTGGCCCTGATCTGCCACCCGGTCAGCATTCCTGGTGATATAACTAAAGTTGGGTGACGTAACAGGCTCAGGCGACCTGCGTGTCACTTAGAGAGGGCTGCAGTCTTGAAGTCCTAAGGAGTAAGCGCCAGACACAAAACAACGTTTTTGCCCACCGACATCCAACCACACATTCCTGTGTCCTGTGTCCGTCCAAATATTCCTGCGATGCACAGAGGGTTAAGCTGGGTTTTCTGTGGCTAGTTTGGCTAGCAAGCCGGCCAAAGTCTCACTTGATTTGCTTTAAGGACGCAGTCTTGGCCCCCTTGAGATGCTCCTTTGTCAACTTGATGTATATTCAAATAAGCACTTATCAAAGTAACGATTTTAACCCAAGTAACAGGACCTTTGTCATCATGGTCACAGAAATACTTGGTTATGATTTGGGGACAATGACAGTTGTAGACAAAGAACATCTGCTGGGGAAAAAACAATCCAGCCACCACGACCCCCTCCCCATGTGGACTAATGGCTCCATAACACCGTCCCCTTATGTCCCCTCATACTCACTACAAGTCTTTGTCACTTCATCCTCTGCTCAGGGTTCTGGGCAACCCCTCCACCCAGTAATAATGTGACATTGTTTGACCGCCGAGATACGTTTGTCCCGAATGGAGGCGAACAGCAGGAGCAAAGTCTTCATTCTGCTTGAGGAGCCTGTCAGGAGAGATTTTTGAATCCCAGACGGAATCCTTTCAGTGCCAGCTTCATATAGTAGAGGAACCATTGGGTACCATACAGTAGAGGAAAGTCAGTGCAGCCTTCGGCCTCTTGAATTCACCATTTAAAGTTGTGCTGTTTTTTAATTCTATTCAATTCGTTTTATTTTGTACAGCTCTGTACACATGCGGCGTCCTCTGTCCAAAAACTCTCACATCGGCCCACAAGCGATTCTTCACTCAGTTCCTGCCGGGTCAAACGGCCCACAGCCCCACAGGCCGAGCCTGCCGCCGCCCCACAGGAACATGGTCTCAAAAAACAGCCTAAGTGGGACACAGCAGGACGCCACACGTGGGCCATTACACAACCAGCAGAGTCATGATGGTGACCTGCATCGGAGTGAATCACAGTTTTCTTTTGGTCCGTTAGTGGAAACAGTATTCAATGAAAACAGCTCCCAGTGAGGTGTGTGCGTTATCCGCAACTACCTGCACTACTTTAACGACTTTGCACTTCCATTGTTGGATTAAAGATCTTTAAACACTGCAGACTTTTTTTTCTTTAGACCTTCCTGTTTGGACTGTTATTTGTGTAACCCGGTGGTTTACCTCTTTATTCATTTATATTTTATGGCGTTTTTATTTTGTCTTTTGAGAACCTTCTTGTGACGATCTGCTCTGACATGTTGATGGCTTCCTTCCTAAATTACTTCCAGTAAATCAAACCCAAATAATGATGGAAATGACTCATCACAGCAGGGAGATTGCTGCTGCAGTTCACCAAGATGGCATCATAACGCTTAAGTTATAACCTTTAGCTGACCTCACGCTGATGTTTCACCACTAAATCCTACGAGTTCAACCATGCAAGCAGAGGTTACATTTGAAGAAACAACCTCAGGGTGCGTGTGATTTTTGGGGATTCATCATCATAAGGACTGGAACACCCGAAAACCTAATGCCTCTGCAGAATAACCACGGAATAAAAACACGACCACACTCAGTAACAGATGCTCTGGACAAAGTCCATCATCCTGATGGTCCGAGGATAGACTCTTATTCTCAATCTCCCTGTAAATGGATTACAGAAGGCTTTGATAAATGTAACTGCCTTGTAATGGAGATACATGTGTTTAGGGTTACGGATCGTATACGATCGATACGGTCGTATTTGAGCCAAGTGTGCCCTGGAATTCAACATACCTGTTGGCCCAGATTTAGTGCGTATAGGCTGCTTTTAGGACACACATTATAGCAGACATGGAAAATGTGTCCCGTTGGATTCGTACACACTGATGTTGTGACAGAACCTTCGTCATGGAGTATTTCATATCATCTGTTCTTCTTGACAGGACTTTAATCACACGGAAACCATTCAATTAAACAGAGACCATTAAAAAATAGAAATCCTATTATATCTGTCGTATGTTTATTGCATCCCTGGGCGTAGTTAACAAGACAACCGGCTGAGGCACTGTTGCCTTTTCATGCTTTCAGTGTTATGGTTTTATGGGTTTGATGGTTTTCTTTCCTCATTTTCATAACGTCTGTCTATTTATAGTTTTTATCTCACAAGGCATGTGCAAGTGTTTTAACTCTTCCTTCCTTATGGTTTGTGTTATCTTTCCACGTGCTTTATTGCAGTGGCATTTTGATTATAGGATCATCGCTCAAGATTTGAGACAACAAAGCATATCTTTAAACTCACCTGCTTTTTTTATTGTATCGCTTAATCATATTATTTCTACTATCTTCTAAGTATGTGTTTTACTTTGTTAATGTACGGTTGATCCAACGATGGTATTGTAGTGCTCACCTGAAATGGACAACACAGTAGGGGATGGCCTCTCGCAATAATTGCAAATTCATTGGGATGGACCATTCATCTTGTAAGTCTAATAGAGAAGAAAAATCCAGATTTGAACACGAAAAGTGACCAAAGAACAGTTTGGCGGAACATTTCTACGGCTTATCCACAGTCACAAGCAGGGCAGCATGTGGGAACCTTTCTAACAGCCTCAAATATATTATATCATGTCGAAAAGACCAAAGCCTTCTGGGAATGACGAGGAAAAAGAGGGAACACACTACGATACTGTAATGCGATGTCGGTAGTAGCTGCCGTTGAAGCAGAGTGCCGCTTGTTTACTTGGACCGATTGAAACATTTGGTCATTAATAAATAGGTAAAGTAACTTCAACCGCAAACTCCCAGCTACCATTTCAAGCATCGCTTGATCTCAAAGACATAACAAGCTTTTGTGTGAGTGCATGACCAAAATGAAAACCGGCTAACGCGTTGCCCTGCGGCAGCGCAGGTGGATGCTGGACTTCGGCTCTCATCAACATCAGCTTGTCTCCACCGACACTTTCCAACGCTCAGAAGTGTGTTTTGCGATCCTGTGCATTCTTGTCTTTGAAGTGACTCGGTTCTACGGACTTGTAACCTTCCCAGCAAGGAACTCACACATAATATTCGCTGCATCCTGGTTTATATTCAACCTGTTGTTTGTCTGCTTGATCGTCACACCTTAACCTGAAGAAGTTGTTCACGTAGAATTCGAGCATCATTTGATTAATTTTTAACAAATGGAACCTTGAATGGACGGATACAATAACAGAACTTATTATACAGTTCTGCAATTATTGAATGGCTCTGCAGGATGACTGATGCTCTCTCGTAGTTTCCCAAGTTCAATACAACTGGGATCAATGAATCCGTAATTGCTTTTTGATTGATAACTGATAAGTTACTGGTCTATAATGTGAGACTATCACACGTTCCAGTGGAACATTGAGGCATGACGGTTGGCGTAAATGGCAACGTCAGTTTACTGGAGAGTTAATGTGTGTAATTATTCACCCGGGTTATCTTCCTTGTGCGGCCACCTCACAGACGTGTTGACAACACCCTCACAGGGACCCACATTGTGACAACAAGAGTGGAGTTTTCTTTAACTGGGACACATTGAAGCTACATTTTTTTTTGTAAACTTTCAATAATTACTACAAAAAAAGCCTCGTCATCCAACAGGTACAATATGTGTCTCCAGGACTACACCTCCACTGGGAGAAGCTTTTCCAGCGTTCTCAAGTTGTGGGAGGAGGAGTTATGTAAAAACACACATGAAACACCCCCCCCCCCCCCCCCCCAAACCCCAATCCCCCCCTCCTTCAACTTAAAAAAACCGGGGAGCGGTTTAAAAAGGGGGGGGGCGGCGCGCACACGCTAACACCAGACCCCAGTGTTTTTATTAGCCTCCCACTCCCTGGGGCCGCCGTAACGACGCACACATCACAGAATGAGACGGCGGGGGCCCCCGGCTCTTCCAGGTGTCACATGGTCATAGGGGGGCAGACTACGCAGAAAGAAACCCGAAGACCATGTGATAATACTCGGCACTGTATCCTGGTAGCACTTTGTCCTGCCGCGTGTACCTGGAATAAAGCTCGCGCTCCATCCTCCTCTACCAGTGACTCCGGCGAGAATAAGATTAACTGGTTCCCTCCCCAGGGCCGCGCCCTATCGGCGTGTTCGTCGGCATTGATGGAATGAGCGCCCGGGAGGGAAAAATAATAACCATGTATTCAAATAAAAATAAGTGGACGGAAAATATTTTCGGGATGAATATAGTTTTGACTCTACTATATTTTTCCAATCCTCCACTTATACTAATTTTTTGATATCCACTCTATAATTTTCGGTCACAGATTTTATATTTTCAGATTCAAAACATTTATATTTTCACTTTCAGATCTTTTTTTTGCGTTCAGATCTTTTTTTCACATTCGGACTTTTGACCCTGATGTGGCGCAGGGGGCGGGCAACTGGCATCAAACGTGAATTTCAGGTTCCGGTTTGTTTTTCAAATGAACAGAACGTTTGATGTGGATTTGGCTCCACAGACGCTCACGTATGATGGTTTATATATACCAGATAATGCACCTCTAAACATGAAATCTCAGTAAATGTGTAATTCAAAACAACATAAAACGTATCAAAGTAATTGGTGCCATTAGTTGTTTTTGAACTTCTTCACCTTTTCTTGTCTGCAAAATGCCCAAATACCAAACATGAGATAATGCCTCATTTGCATAATCAAAGAGACATTTTCAGAACAAGTGAAAAACAAAAAACGACCTGCGGTTTCTCCCCTTAAATGAAGATCATCGACAGCAAACGGGCAACGTGGTAACAACGACATGGCAGCACGTATCTGCTGTCTTGTAACACTATTTAAACATCATTGGTAAACCAAATTTGTACCAGGCATTATTGTGATGTGGGCTGCTTATTGTTTCCATTGAACGTTTGCGCTAACCAATGAAAGGCACCAATGGTTGATTTAATTCCTTCTTAATATAAGTGCAAGGTTTTTATATATGCTTATTTATAATCTGCATTTTGAAAAATAGCCATGAACTAAATGGTTATTCACGCTGTCCGCTTTACTGTTAAAATGATGTGTAGACTAGTATTTAAGATTCGTATCAACCGGCAGGGCAATACCTAAAACTCAAACTCTCAAAGGATTCTGGAATGTCCCAGGCTGTGGTTTATGGGATTGATTTAATAGTGTAATTTAATGTAATTGTAATTGTAATTAAAGTTCCCCGCACCTTGAATTCTGCTGTTAAAATAATCCCATATATATTTGGTGTCATTTTAAAATACCTAATATACCTAAATAAATTCCCTTTTATTGAACGCGCGAATCACTGTCTCGCATCTGCGGCGGCTCCACCAATCAGGATCCTGCAGACACACACACACACACACACGTATTACACGGTTAAGCTGTAACACAGTGAGCCCATTTCCAGGAGCCTTCATATTTTTATCATTATCAGGTCCTACAGAGGTCCTTTCTTTTGTCTCTCCCTTCAACCCCTCAATTTAGTGAGGCCTACACATACTTAATGGATTTCTTTGAATTTACTAAACTAAACACATTTATTCACTGTCATTGATTTAATATGACTAACTGATAACAACATCATGGAATAGAGCCAGGCTAGCCAAAGCGTTGCGTCGCACCGCTCCCATAATATTTCTTCATGGAATGCAGCTGGGTTCTGACAGCTTGATTGTGTGTACTTTATTTTTCTGAATGCATTGCTTAGTTCTTGACTCATTTCTTTGGTAATAAATGGGAGTAATTGAATCTGTGGTGAACAATCAATGTTTTTGATGTACGAGCCATATTCTATGAATGCAATTTTCTATAGTTATTCTTTATTTGTGTTTCTGTGGGCATGCACGGGTTCACTTGTTTTAAAACCACTGCATGTTTGCTTTGCAATAAATTTGTGTGTGTGTGTGTGTGTGTGTGTGTACTGAAGTTGAAGTTCCATCTCAGATGCATCAAACCCTCCATCATAGTCGTTAATTTCAAAAATAAAATAAGTTTGAAAGTCAAACAGTAATCTACCAGAATGCAGTGCGCATGTACAGCACTGATATAACATTTAAGTCGTAACGTGCACGTTTCCATCACACTTTTTTTATAATGACAATAATTCAGATGCATGATAGACAACACTTTTAAAATTGCCTATGAACAGCTATACATGGCGCAATCTTGTGCAGACATGGTGGCAAAATATACTCTCCTTCACAAGCAACAGAACAGAAGCAACATTGATAAAAGAGGGCTATGAAGACCAAATGTCCCTTATTTTGTTTTAGATCATGGATGTAATTGATGGCAAGAATCCTGGCCTAGTGTCACACAAAGGCTTCCTGGTGATCAAAGGCCTTCATGATCCAGATGCGGTTGACATGATTCGTAACTTGGAGATAAAAGAATCTGATGTGTTGGTCGTCACATACCCCAAATCAGGTGAGGAAAACAAAGATTTGAGATCCCTTTTATGCTTTCTTTATTTCAAAATGTGTCATAGGTGATTAGATTACAAGAGTACAACACTAAATACAATAGTTAATTATTGCTTAATTGTTATCATTTTGCAGCAAGTGCCTTTCTAAAGCTTCAAAGGTGCACAACCAAGTGCCGGGTCACACTAAATACGTAATTCATCACAGACGCCATTTGTTTTTCCCCGAACGGTGTGATCATGACCAGCCCTACCCTGTGTCTGATTGGCTAGCACTCCAAGCCTTCACTGGTCGCGGGGTGGGGGGAGGGTTAGGTTCAGGAGGGAGATCGGTCGGGGTAATAAAATCAGGTCAATAGAACAGATTTCTGGCAGAGCAGGCAGGGGGTGTCGGGATCTCCGATCCCTCCGAGTTGGTTGATGAGAAGGATCCAGCACGTTGATCAATTAAAGTCAAAAAGTTAACATTTATTTAGAAAAGAAAAAGATCAATCAAGAACAATTCTCCGCAGATATCTGGCTCTAACTTTTGCTTGTAAGCAGGAGGTCCAACACACCAGCACGTATTCCAGCGTTCTGTGTAATGGGGTGTCCGAGCAGTAAAAACACTGAGTTTTTATACACTTGAAGACAGTTCTTAGTGCCAGTTACGAAAAGCCACAAATCAAGTTGAGATAAGAACTCAGGTGGAGCTGAGGGTAACACACAATGCTCCTCTGATCGAAGGTCTGTGAGAGCAAGATGATCCCCTTCCCCAAACACAGCTGCAAACCCTAAATATTTCTGTCTCTACATCTCAGGGTCAACCACTGAGATCTGGCTTTTAGCACAAGACAATTGTTTACAGAATGTTTTTACCACTACATGCATCTCACAGGGGGAAGGCGTTTTAATCCTGTGTGTTGCAAATTGATTTCAACAGAGAGCAGGGTATGAAATGATGGTGTGTTTCGTGAAAAGAAACCAGGACAGAGGCCCATAAAGGACAGGAGGTGAGAGGTGTGCTTCCGTCTGGGAGATGCAAATAAGGCCCGTCTTCTCTGTTTTGATAGGGACCATCTGGATGCAACAGATCCTGCTGCTGCTTGAGGCGAAGGGAAATCTGACAGCCATCAGCAAGCACATCACATTCTCCAACGCTGAGTTGGTCCCTTGGATCGAGGTGCAAACAGAGGCATTTATCAAGTCTCGGTCACCACGGATGACAGTCAGCCATCTGCCGTTCTCGTTATTACCTTCCGCCCTGAGCCAGAAGAAAGGCAAGGTAGGCAGCTCTCTAGCCAAGTGTTTTCTTTTTCATCCATCCATCGTCAAACCACTTATGCTGCACGCAGGGGGGCTGGAGTCTATCCCAGCTAACTTCGGGCAAGAGAAGGGGTACAACCTGGACTGGTCACCAGCCAATCACAGGGCTACACAGAGACAGACGACCATTCACACTCACATCCACACACACATCTACGGGCAATTTAGAGTCCCCAATCAACCTGATTACCAGAGAATTTCTTTGGACTGTGGGAGGAAACGAGAGAACTCGCAGAGAACCGACGCAGACACGGGGAGAACATGCAGACTCCACACAGAAAGGCCACTGGGCGGAGTGGAACCCATGACCTTCTGGCTGTGAGGCGACAGTGCTAACCACCACACCACCATTTTTTTTCGTGTTTTACATATTTAATTTGAAAGCATCAGGTGTGTAAAATTTCTGGGCATCAAGGTAGCTTTGGATGGGTGGACAAATGTGGTGTTGATGTTCAATGTCATCTAAAAGAGAAAGAAGCGTAGAACATTTATGAAATACTTGCAAGCAGGAGACAGAATTGACACACCTGCAAGTTCATAAAGATCCTCCCCTCTGGCTTTGAGTTATATAGTTTTAAGATAACACACACACACACACATAATGGACAAGATCTTGAACTGTTCCTCAAACAAGGCAAAACGTGTTGTTAATCTGACTGCGTACAGGTCCCTTTGTTTTGCACTTTTAACATAAAACATTACACCATGAGTTCCTGTGAGATTATCTGGACAATGACGCACAAATCATCTTGACTATCAGTTGACCGGGCTCACAAAGTATCTCTCAGACTGCTACAGGTCGATGAGGCGCTACAGGCTTTTATGTATTATTGTTTGTGTTGGGGTTGTTCTCCTAACCACTCACACCCAGGCTGTTCCTCTTTCAGGTGATCTACGTGGCAAGAAATCCCAAAGATGTCCTTGTATCTTACTTCCACTTCCATAAGGTTGGAAACATGTTGGAAACGCCGACGGACTTTGACGACTTCTTTGAAAAATTCATGAGAGGAGATGGCAAGTTCTTCAGTTACTCACATGATGGCATTAGGTGCTTGTGGCACGTTGTCACCAGTGCAGCTCAAGGTGAACGTCTAATGTGGCGATAACATGTCTGTCTTCTCCTTTGCAGTATTTGCTTCCAGCTGGTTTGAGCACATCAAGGCGTGGTACCTGCACAAGGATGATATAAACATGCTGTTCCTCACTTACGAAGAGATGGTTAAAGTAGGAGCCGCATTCATTCCTCCCTGTGCTTGAATGTGCTGTAATGTTGGAAGTTGTAGGCTTGTGTGACGACGCATCGGTCTGTTAAAAATACCCTGCTTTGTATGTTCAGGACCTGCATTCCGCAGTGGAGAGGGTCGCCTTGTTCCTGGGGTCAGCGCTGACCGACGAGCAGCTGGCCGATGTAGTTAAACACGCCACCTTCAACAACATGAAGAAGAACCCACAGGCCAACTACGAGCGAGTACCAGGTCGCCTGCTCAGCCACCACCAGGGCACATTCTTGAGGAAAGGTGAGCAGGGTCACTGCTGCAGATGCATGCAGGAGGAGCCGGAGACAAAGGATGAATCTTGTGCAGCAGCTGTAGAGAAGATCCGTGTCATTTTGTAACACGCACACAAGAGGGGGGGGCGGCACGGTGGTGTGGTGGTTAGCACTGTCGCCTCACAGCAAAAAGGTCCTGGGTTTTACTCCGCCCAGTGGCCTTTCTGTGTGGAGTCTGCATGTTCTCCCGGTGTCAGCGTGGGTTCTCTCTGGGTTCTCCGGCTTCCTCCCACAGTCCAAAGACATGCTCTGGGGATCAGGTTAATTGGGGACTTTAAATTGCCCGTAGATGTGTGAGTGTGAATGGTCGTGGGTCTCTGTGTAGCCCTGCGATTGGCTGGGAAGGACTCCATAAGCGGTTTGACAATGGATGGATGGATGGACACAAGAGGGGAATGACTGCTGTACTAATGCTCTGTATCTCAGTGTTTAGCACACAGGTTCAGCATTTAGCGGCACCTTCATTTTAAAACAATATTTTGATCCAGATTTTAACGTGAAATATCATTGCACTGCTTATGCCATCCGTTTGGGGATTACATGTGCATATGGTGATGGGAATAGGCAGACTTATAATACATGGCAGTTTGAGGACTGAGGACTACAACCTTTTTCTTTTTCCTCCCATCATGTGCTGTGGACACCAGGCACCATCGGCGACTGGAAGAATCACTTCACTGTGGCCCAGAACGAGAGGTTTGACGACACCTTCCACAGAGAGATGGCAGACATTCCTCTGGATTTTATCTGGGACATCAAAGACGTTGCGTGATCGGTTGTTTGTCGCATGACAACAGGAAGGAGAAGATGGTTGCAGCTTCATGAACACCAGGCTCTGCAGAAAAAATAAAACCCCTCTTTTCCGTCAGCATGCCTGTGCTTTCCTGCAGTTTCACAGTGTTTCATTTTAGTTTTCTTTGATTATCTTTGCAAAGCAGCATTAAAGACAGAATGTGTAATTGATTGAGGACCTCTCTGACTACTACCATGGTGAATATCAAGTGTTTTTACTATTACAGACTGAAATTTCTCCAAATAGAAGCCCCAATTTTTGGTCTAGACAATGACGCCACTAGTTGACACAAAGACCACACCGGCTTAAAATACACATAGGGGAGTGCGAGGGG